ACATAAGGTGTAACGGAAAAATATTTAAAAAATATTTTTCCGTAGGTAAAGAAAAAATATGCATTGAAAGTTTTTTTATATTTTTTTGTGATATGCCACTGGTTACACACTTTTGTTCTGTGAGTACATATGTAGATACAAAAAAACAAAGTAGCAGCGCATTGCCAGTTGTAAAAAATTGTTACTAAAATTTTTTCTTGCAAAAAATAAATAAAAACTTAATAAGTACAAAAAAGCTTAAAGCTCTAATACCCTTCTTATTTACTCATCCAGCTTTTAGCTTAAGCAATGATTAGAAAAATTAGTACCTATTTTAAAAACTCCATAACCACAAAATTAATTTTTTCATCGGTTTTTTAGTTTCTGTTTACTCAGATGAAATTAGGACAAGCTCACAGGTTAAACTTTAAACATTCAATTTGTGTAAATAAATCGAAAAGAACTTTCCTTAGCCGTCAGGCGAGAGACGTAAATCATCCGAGTAAATAATGCGCATTATTTCGAGTGTAATACTATAACAAAATTTATTATAACCTCACTTTTTCCCGATTTTAAAGATCATTTTAGTCGCCTCTTATATATATATATATAAACAAATTTGACATTTGTTAACCTTACTATTTCCCAATTTAAAATTCGATTGGTTCAAATAACAGTAAATATTGAAATCAGCCAATCACTGATGCCTAACAACGTGAATAATGAGTTCAATATTCCCGTTGTTAGGCCGGGCGGTTATATTGGTTACCAATATTTACGAAAAAAAAACAAATAATGTCAATAATATGCAATAGGAGTAGAAAAACATATGTAAGTATTAATTATTAGGAATGTCAACTTAAGCTCAACAATTGTCCATAAAACAAATAAAATAAAATACTTTATAGTGTTTGTTTACCTGTTTGAGGAACTAATTTTCATTCATATTTCAACAAACCGTGACGTAATATCGCCTCGTACCTAAATATGGAAAATTGATCGCACTGATAATGTAGGTATACATTCGTGACGCTGTGAATTCTTTAGTCTCTTTCTCTTCAGATATGTACCGAAAGATTATTTAAATAAAGCGAATGCGATGGCGTTGGCTACGCTCACACACATTTCTGCAGCACACATTGCCATAATTATCATAAATAAATTAACACAATTTTTCCAATGCTAGTTGGTTAAGCGTGTGTACGAGGCGACATTGTGGTTTGGCGTGGTTTTCGGGTGTTTTTTGAGGTGCATGTGTTTTTTGTTTTGAGGATTCAATTGTTTAAAATGGTTACGTGGTTGCTGGATTTCGAGGAGTCGGAGATGACAGTTTATGAGTAAGGATTTTCAGAAGAACTTTTTTGGAAATAATTGACTTAAAAAGTACACTTTAAGTGTTATTAGTTTTTTTTAAATTCAGATATATTTACATTAAAAATATTTTTTTACATTTAAGTGTAAATAATTATACAATAATTTCGTATAGGTACTTAAAATCAGACTATAAGTTTCCAAAGGTTTTTAATACTTGCATTTTATTCAAACTATACCTGGCGATTTTTTTTAAAAGTGTTACAAAGGGATGTTTCGAAAACAGTTTAAAATTTTTTGTGAAATGTTGGTAAACTAATAAAGAGGTGGGGGGACATTAAAAATTAATTTTATACCTTGTATTTAATTTGGTCGAATTTTACTTTAGATAGTTGGTATCACAGTCATTGGTTTGACAGTTAATGTCAAAATCGATTCGTCATGCCGTCCTTAATTTACTTAAGCGGCTGTTAATGTTAAAGAAGAAAAAAGGATTTTCTTTGGTGTTAAACAAAATTTATTGCCAGAAAAGTCTCGCAAGCACTAGAAAAATCATAAAAATATTATAACCAACATGCAAAATATTACTTTACTAGTATGCTGTTTAAAGTATAGCCAACCTATAAAATCAAAATTTTGGGTGGGGTGAAGTATCTCATTACAGCACCGAAAGCGGTGTTATAATGAAGTCATTATGAACGCAAAATAGATAAACATATTTTTGACACCTACCCCCTTTTCCTATTTTGAGGGGCGGGGGTAACTGAATTATGATTTATTAGGTTATAAGATACTAAAAAATAATTTTATTTTATTTAACAAGTCTACGAAATTTCTCAGACATGCTCTATTATAAATTAGTTAAAATGAAACTGTTAATATTTTTTAATATCTTATAATTTAATAATTCATAATTCTGTAAATCAAAAATCTTTTTGCACACATACATAGTTTTTTTCGTAGAATTGTATTTTAATAAAAGTACAACATCCATATTAAAATTCCAAAGTCCAAAATTTCACAAAAAATTAAAATCGTTTTAGAAATATCCCCTTGTAACCCTTAAAAAACTCACTCGGTATAATTGCTCCATTACGTCAGGTTTTTTGGAAATACTTTTTAAAATGACTTAATTTTTAAGTCTAAATATTTTTAAAAACATTTAATTGATCCTTCTGTCAATATCCTCTAGTAGGCATTTTACCACTTAAAACAAAGGTCCTGCCTTGAAATTTATAAACGAAAACATTGGTTATCATAAATACATCATTTAAAATTAGCATAAGTGATATATTTGTGTAAATATTTTCCTCCTTACGCAATATTTAATGTGAAAAACGAAAATTGAAAAAACATCTGGGATGTAATTAGTTTTAAAATATCACAAACACAAATGATATGATTAAAACCACTGCTATATAAATTCAAAAGTTCATAAAAATCGTTGCACCAAATTACATGTAATTATATGTCATTATTCATGGGTTATGAAACAATAAACATTGCAACGCATTTAATAAATAATCATTATTCAATTCAATTCGCACATACGTATTGTTTAAGTAATTACAAAGTAAATTTATTATTTTTAAAGGCTACCCATAAAGTGGGCCAAGTTCACCGCCCATAATTCTCCTTATATTAAAAATAAAATAATATTTTATTATTAAGCTTTTATTTTTGGCATTTTATTTATATATTATTACAATCTAATTCATGATGTAATTCAAAAAACAATCCCGCGTTGGCGTAATTAATACTCAATAATAAATTAATTAAGGATACATGGGTTTTCGCCAAATCAACAGGTGGTTTTTATTAAATTTTCTAAATCCTTTAAAAATTTAACATAATAGACAATTTAACATAATAGATAGAAAATTTAACATAATAGACAATTTACTACTCCTACTGCATATTATTGATATTTTTTGAGGTTTTTCGTATATAATGGCAACCATTATAACCGCGCAGCCCAACAACACAATGAACTCATTATTCACGTTTTAGAAATCAGTGATTGGCCGATTTCAATGTTCACAGTGATTTGAAACAATCGGGTTTCAAATTGGGCTAAAGTTAGGTTGAAACTCTGTAACAGATCTCAGATTTTTATATACGAGGTGTGTTCAGAAAATAACGGTAATTGTTAAATTTCGCGGGTTCGGAGGGTCCGGTTGTGATAAAATTTTCTTTATTATGTTGGTATACATGCCCCCGAAGTATGATAAAAACTTTAGCTGTTTTCATCGTTTACTTTGTCTGTGGCAGCCGCTAAGGTTAGACGTGTTTTATGAGCTCGGCGATTTTCGTTCGTTAAAAAAAAATGGATCAAAGAAATTTGTATCCAATTCTGCTTAAAAAATTAAATAAATTCTGTGAAATGTTAACAAAGGCCTATAGTGAGTCTGCTATAACTAAAACAAGAGTTTACAATTGGTATACAAGTTTCCAAGTTGGCAGTAAAGACGTTGAAGATGACGAACGCCCCGAACGCACAAGCACATTAACAACCGATAAAAACATGGAAAAAGTGGAAGAAATGGTTATAAACCATCAGAGAAGTCGCTGTTGATGTTGGTATATCGATTGGCTCATCTCATGAAATTTTTTCGAATGTTTTGGGTATGAAACGCGTGGCAGCAAAATTTGTTCCAAAATTGTTAAATTTTGAACAAAATTTTTGTCCAAAAACAATACTGTGATGATGCCCCAGCCTCCATATTCGCCAGACATGCCTCTGTCTGACTTTTTCCTATTTCCAAAAATAAAGAAAACCTTAAAGGGCCGTCGTTTTGCAAGCATAGATGACATTAAAAGCGCATCGCTGAAAGAACTAAAGGCTCTCCCAAAGATCGAGTTTTAGAAGTGTTTCGAGTATTGGAAGAAGAGCTGACACATGTGCATAATATCCAATGGGGACTATTTTGAAGGCGACAACATTAATGTAGACGAATAGGTATATAAATATTTTTTTCAAAAAACGAAAATTCCCGATATTTTCTGAACACACCTTGTATACGAGGGGCGAACTATAATTATACAAAAAGTATTAAAATTTGTCCTATAACGTTTAACGTTTTACCTATCTAATGTTGATAGTGACATTTTAAAGATTTTGATTGATTAATTTTTTATGCTGGTCCGTTCAGACCAAATCACCATATCTTTACATTATTTCCGTTGTCTTAGGATTTACTGGATGGACTTTAATGGGTATTTTATTTTGTATTGTATTAAGTAATTTTCATTCATAAGAAAATTTATTATAACCTTACTTTTTCCCGATTTTAAAGATCATTATAGTCGCCCCTCGTATATATAAACAAATCTGACATCTGTTATTTTTTCTTATTTTTTCCCAATTCAAAACCCGATTGGTTCAAATAACAGTGAATATTGAAATCAACCAATCACTGATGCCTAACAACGTGAATAATGAGTTCAATATTCCCGTTGTTAGGCCGGGCGGTTATATTGGTTGTCATTATTTATAAAGAAAAAAATAAAGTAAATAATATGCAATAGGGGTCCTACTTTTTAAACACCTGTCATTTAAAATCAATTTTTGTACAGGAAAAACCTATAGTAATCCACTGACAAATTTTAAACAACAGAATTTTTTCTAAAGGTCGCCGCTCTTTTTATCCAATTCTAGTTTTTAATTTTTTTTAAGTAAAAAAATCTTATTTTAATTTTTTTTTTGTCAGAGATGTGATCTACGCTGGTCCTAAAAAAGTGGTGATCACAGTCAAGGAAACCAAAACGGAAACTGGCTTTCCAGGAGAAACTGAACTCATATCGCAGCATGTGGTGCAAACGCACGCTCCTGCGGCCTCTTCTGCAACCAGGGAGCTGGACGATCTTATGGCTGACCTCTCCAACATTAAGGTAGGAAATTTAATTTCTGTTATGAATATTGTTATTAATTATACAATGTGTAAAATCTAGTTAGTTAAGAGTATTTTGTAATAATTTGGAGATAATTTAGAAAAACATCTAAATTTAAAAAATATTTAGATTTGGGGTAAATTTAATTTAGATTAAAAAAATTGTTATTCAACAAAATTAAGCGGAAAGCATTGATGTTTATTAATTCAGTTTGTAGCGATGAAAAATTTTAATGCTATAAACGGCTATAAAATGATCATAAAATAGTTCAAAGTCAGGTTTATTTTCATTTTACACATGTAGTCATTATAAACATAGCACTGAAAATTATTATATTTTGAGTTTTTTGATTTGATTATTTTTAAATAAGCTTTAACTATGGTTTCGCGTAAAAATCGAATAAATTTTGGACATTTTTTTAACCTTGTTTCTACATCTAAATGGTACATTTTTTCAAAAAAACTCTTCTTTGTTAAAAATAGATAAATTTCGATATTTTCTAATAACATTTTTATTTAAAAACGTATCGATTTGATTGAAATTATAACCTACTTAATAAATTTTAATTTTATTTTTTGCTCCACAACCAAGCTTTAATTTATTTTTTACTCGATAAGCAAGCTTCAATTCTAATTCCAAACCGAGGAAAATAATATTTACCCAATAAATAAATTAGAATAAATACTTTATTTTTTATGTTGCACTCGGCTATTTTTTGTTCAGTTGTTTTTCGATTTTTTGTAATTAGTTATTTTGCATTTTTTTATATTTAATATAATGCTATACAGGGTGTCTCTGGAGAAATGCAAACGATATGGATTTGAAATTTTAATAGCATATACAATTTGATTTAGACTATACCTTAAGTCAATATTTTACAAGATATTAATTTTTTTCGTTAAAATTTTGCTAAATGCACGTTAATCAAAAATTGCCTCTAATTTTGTTGTTATTATATTTGCTGACGTGTGGTTGGAAGTTTTGGAATATTAAAACATTGTTTAAATAATTTAATTTTGTAAAGGTTTTTCAACAAATAGCTTGAGAAAAACCACTTGGAATTAGGCAAAATAACGTTTTTATTATAAATACTATTTCCTAAAGTTAAAATTTCAGAGACATTTAAAAATTTTTAATATTTTCAATACTATTTTGTATCAAAAAACCTGTGAAATACTACAATGTGGTATGTCATGTGGTTAAATGTGACAGTATCCATGGTTACCACCAAATCTGTCATTGTTTAAAATTAATTAAAATATTTGATTGAAAAATTAATAACTCAAAAAATATTGACTTTAGATATAGGATATGGTATAGCCATTGTATGTAGAATTAAAAAATGTAAAAATATATGAGGTGTCCTGTTTAAAATAACAAAGTTAAAGATATTTCCCAGGGTTCCCTCTCACCTGGAAATCCTTGAAAACCTGGAATAGTCAGGGAATCCGTTTAAGTCCAATAAAATCAGGGAAAAGTCAGGGAATTTTGAAAGTCAGCGCAAAAGTCAGGGAATTTGTTAATATTATGGTAAAAGTCAGGGAAATTTATAAAACGGCTTGTTTTCTGACCCTTTTTCGTTGAAAGTGCCGTATTGGCAACACTGGTATCGTAAACAATTGTTTTCGTACGGCGCCGCCGTAACGGCGGATATTATCAAGGATTTTACACAAAAAAGTTTTACACATCGCAAAGCAATGCACCTGATTAACAAACGAACAATTAACAATAATTAAAACAATTGTCATAATTAATTTTAAATTGTTAAAGTTTGTTGTGCATTGCTTTTATGAATATGGTATATTTGTATAAATGTATACATTTATTTTTGTTAATATTTATTTAAAAATTAAATATTATAATAAAAATTAAAATAAAATTTTAATAAAAACAGTTTAACATAAAATAGATTCTTTGGTACAAACATAAAAAACATTCTTTGGTATATATACCAAAGAATGTTTTTTATGTTTGTACCAAAGAATCTATTTTATGTTAAACTGTTTTTATTAAAATTTTATTTTAATTTTTATTATAATATTTAATTTTTAAATAAATATTAACAAAAATAAACGCTATTTTTGACTTAACATAATTCTGATGGGACACTATTTTAGGAGATAATTGTCTTTATGTCTTTCTTTTATTTATCTGGAATTATAGGGACTTTGGTCAGGGAAAACTTGGAAAAGTCAGGGAATTTTAAATGGTTTTAAAAGAGGGAACCCTGTTTCCGGTAAAACAGGAAGTATTATTTTGTTCAAAATAATTTAGGAAAAAAGTCTAAAGCGAATAATTTACGCTATTAAAATTTCAAATCGATGTCTTTCGCGAGAAACTTCTAACGGACTACGTACGTGAAACACCCTGTATATTAAATGTCATTGCTATACTTAATTATTAATGAAACATACAACAATATTTGTATAAAATTGACAAAATGTACTAAACTAAAAATTTATGATTACTGCTACTGCTAATTCAAAACTGATCCTGGCCACAGAATTGCATAAAAAAGTTAATATATCAAATAATAGTCAAATATCAATACTTTAACGTGTTATACTCAAATTTATAAAACAAAATTGCTTCTTCGATTATTTACCCTTTAAAAATTGTTAAATTTTAAACTAAATTATCACCAGCGCCCCTGTACGTTAAAATGTAAACAAAATTGTCATTGGTAAGATCTACATTTTGTCCAAATTTCAAATCTCTTTATTTTTAACACAGCGAAGAAAAAAATAAAAATAAAAACAAAGTTGTCAATGGACGAGATTTTTTTTTGAAAAAAGTAGTGCATTTAGATGTAGAAATAAGGTAAAAAGTTCGATCCTTTCGCGAAACCTAGTTAAACAATAAAAATTATGGCAAATATTTGTGATAAATAGGAACAGTTTTATTGTAACATCATTTAGCAATTATTGCCAAGTAATTGATGTCATATTTTATAATAGTTTTAACATTTCAATATTGCCAAATTTGCAAATTTAATTGAGATTTAATGGTAAAAAATTGCCAAACGTCGAAAAATAACTGACCCCAAAAAACAATCCAACACTTATCACATAAATAATGGGCACCTAACAACCTGATCTCGAACTGCCTGATTTTGCGTAAATTCTTGTAAATTTCGGACGAGAAGCGATAAAAAAAAATTGGATTAATTGTCATTAGTAAGATCTACATTTTGTACAAATTTCAAATCTATACGTTTTAAAATAAAAAAAAATAAAATCTCTTCATTTTTAACACGGTGAAGAAAAAAAATAAAAATTAAAACAAAGTTGTCAATGGGCGAGATTTTTTTTTGAAAAAAGTACTGCATTTAGATGTAGAAATAAGGTAGAAAAGTTTCCATCGATTTCTTGAACGCTTGCAAATCGACCGTTCGATCCTTTCGCGAAAACGTAGTTAATCAATAAAAATTATAGCGAATATTTGTGATAAATAGGAACAGTTATTTAGCAATTATTGCCAAGTAATTGATGTCATATTTTATAATAGTTTTAACATTTCAATATTGCCAAATTTGCAAATTTAATTGAGATTTAATGGTAGAAAATTGCCAAAAGTCGAAAAATAACTGACCCCAAAAAACAATCCAACACTTATCACATAAATAATGGACACCTAACTGCCTGAATTTGTGTAAAAACTTGTAAATTTCGTACGAGAAGCGAATTAAAAAAAAAAGTGGAAATGTTTTCGTGCGCGATAATGATGTTTTGGCAGCGCCGCAAATAGCTCGGCTGCTCGCACGAAAACGCGTTCGGACGACGCGCGGGGCGAGAGGGGGGGTTGCGTGGACCCGGCACTCTACCTCGGCGATCTCGGCGTCGGGACGCGCCAGTTTCGCAGGGAACGTCCGTTCAGAACATCGAGATTTCTTTCAGGTAACCGACAAAGTCCACCAGGTCGAGTACGCGCGGCCAGCGAAAGCCAGCAAGCAGAATTTGGAGTCGATGCTCGGTCACCTCCAAGCTGACATGAGCAAACAGGGAGTCAACACGAGCCAGAAGGGCTGCTGCAACGCCTGCGACAAGCCCATCGTCGGGCAGGTGATCACGGCGCTGGGCAAGACGTGGCACCCGGAGCACTTCACCTGCGCGCACTGCTCGCAGGAGTTGGGCACCAGGAACTTCTTCGAGCGCGACGGCAAGCCCTACTGCGAGCCCGACTACCACAACCTCTTCAGCCCCAGATGCGCCTACTGCAACGGACCCATCCTCGATGTAATTTATACACCATCGCAAACCCCCCAACAACGTAATACAACGAATGTTTCAGAAATGCGTGACGGCGTTGGAGAAGACCTGGCACATGGACCACTTCTTCTGCGCCCAGTGCGGCAAACAATTCGGCGAGGAGGGTTTCCACGAACGCGACGGAAAACCATTCTGTCGCGACGACTACTTTGACCTCTACGCACCAAAGTGCGGCTCCTGCAACAGGGCAATCATGGAGAACTACATCTCCGCCCTCAACTCGCAATGGCATCCAGACTGTTTCGTCTGCAGGGTAGGTATCTCTTTTGAGTTATCCAGCTTGATTTCAAACTGGATTACTCAAATTTACATTCTGGCAGCACACGTAGGTATTTCATTGTATGATTTATGTTAGGATTGCAAGTTGCCGGTCCAAGGAAAATCTTTCTACGCTGTGGAAGGCAAACCGGTTTGCCCCGCATGCATCGGCGCCGACGAAGAGGACGAATGAACATGCCCCCTATTATGCCCTCCCCAAAAACACCCCCAAAGCAATGCCCCCCCTAAATATATATCTAATAAGAAGCACATAGCTTGCTAATAAGTTGTATAATATTTGTATTATATTAAATAAATAAAGATAGAAAAAAAATAAAAAACAAAAAAAACAAAAACAAACACACAGAAAAGAAGGGACCAAACGCAAAGGCAAATGCACACGCACACCTTAAGTTAGATTTCGGCGTGTCGCATAAAAATAGACGCGTCTCACGCTCTATAACGCGCGGTCCTTTTTCAAGTTCTAGGCGAGGCGTCGGGACGTACGTCTCTGCTTGGAATTCCGAGGGCAGATGCCGCGCGCGTCTCGAAATAGTTTTCTTGATTTATCGCCCGCGCGCCAAAATAAATAATAATAATAATGATAATAGTAAGTGGAGCGAGGTGGATGTTAATGTTCCCGCCGCTCGCAATATTATTCAACAGGTGGGCTCTGGGTCGTTTTATTTTTTTTTTGTTGTTGTTTCGTTTTTGTTTAAGGGATCGTCAAGGTTATACCGGGGTTTTTTTTACGTGACGGGTCGTTTTCTTGATTTATTTTTAAATGTGTTATTTATACATAATATTATTAGTAACATTAGGTTTTTAATAAAAATAACTTTTTAGCAGGTATGCTTCTTATAAAATCTATAGAAACTTTCTATTAGAAAGTACTTATATAATTCAAAAAGAAGAAAGAATGGTTTTTAACGAAAATCGACAAAAACAAAAATAAAAAAACTCGAGAAAAACTCGATGGTAGTCGTGTTTTTTTTATGTAGAGTCAGGGGTGCTGATAATGAATCAAGAAAATTCCCCAAAAATTTCTTTCCGCGTCCCCTAATTTCATCCCCCGAAAGGGGAGTTTTTTGCTTTTTGGCTCATAACTCGCTAACCGTGCATTTTTTCAGAATTTGACCTCAAATTATTTTGATTATGTACTAAATAAGGCACAGGTTAAACCCCATTGCCCTCCTATATGATGTTCCCTTTCGCTATACGCAGTGTGCAAAGTTGAGCGTTGCTTTCAAAATCACTTTTTTGTTTTTTTTATTATAGCCCAATTTAAAAAATAATCGATCCCAAACCTTACGGTAATCAAACATAACCGAATGGACGATTTTTTGAGGTACCAGACTTTTTTCAAAAGTTACTGCTTTTCAATGTACAGTTGTATTCATTAAAAAAGCGTACAAGAATTAGAATGGGAGAAAACTGTCAACATTATTGTGTAAAACCGGCTTTCCACTGACTTAAGTCACTATAACTGACAGTAGAAAATAAAAATGCCTCGTCAGTTAAAAAGGCTTAAATAGTATCAAGAATCGAAGAAGAATGGTCAATTCGTATTGTGGTATAATAGAAATAAAAAATCTATATTAAAAATTAAGCAACGCTGGGAACAGGAAGATTTACTAAACCAAAAAGTTGGTTCAGGTCGTCCCAAAATGTCCACCCCTGAACAGGATGCTGCTTTTTTGAGATATCTGAGGATTTATGGGAAACTATACAACAATACTATACCTACTATACTGCTGGGAAGATATTAATCCAAATATTGTATTAAATTTAATTCAGTTCATCCCAAATAGATTGGCTCAAGTAATAGAAAAACAGGGATGCATGACTAAATATTAAATTTTTTTTAATGTTTGTTTTTTTCATTATTAAAAGGTAATAATTTTTTTAATATTATTTAATTAACCTACGACGTCAATGCTCTTTATAACCTATAATAATTATTTTAATGACTTATGTCAGTGATAAGCCGGTTTTAAGCAATAATATTATTTTGACAGTTTTCTCTCATTCTAATTCTTGTACGCTTTTTTATTGAATACAACTGTACACTGGGTTCTTTTTTCAAAACTTTAATTTTTGTGGGGCATTTGCAATGAAAATAATTCAAAAAAAACTACGGATTCGTTACGAGGATAAGTGTACCTAAAAATCTAGGGTATAACGAACTGGCTCATTAAAGCCGTTTGTAAAATAAAAAATGTTTTTTTTTTTTAATAATGCCAAATTCAACCAATTTTATAAAAAAAATATTTTTTCGACCAGGCAAAAAGGTTGTTAGTTTTCAAAAATTATTTTTTACAGTTTCTCTACCGAAATCGATGATACACGTATTTTTTTTTTTGCTTTAATTTGTTTTGTTCACCCGTAGAAAATTTTTGAAAAATGGACAGAAATATCGATTTTTCTCTTTTTACTAGTGACATTTTTTATTAAAAATGCGATAACTTGGCCAAAAATTTTTCGATCGTTACAATTTTTCTTTAAATTTTAAGTAAATGTTTACTACGTCCAAAAAAATATATAAAAAATTAACAAATTCACAAAAACGGACTTTTTGGGCTTTAAAAGACATGTTTGCAATTATTTTGAAAAGTAATTAATTTTGTATTATAGTTGTTGTTTTAAAATATATCTGACATCTGATTGTCAAGCAATTTTAACCAATTGTAGGTAAATATCTACTACATACAAAAAAATATATAATAAATTAAGTGAATTCACTGAATTTTTTTATTCTTTTTTCTATTTTAAAACATCAACTATTATACAAAATTAATTACTTTTCAAAATAATTTAAGTTTAATTGCAAAAATATCTTATAAAGTCGTTTTTTTGTGAAAAATTTTAATTTTATAAGATTTTTTAATCAATTTGAATTGTATAGTCGAAATGTGTTTTTAACACAATTCCATTCATAAAATCAGTTTTATAGTTTTAAAATAAATTTGTATTAGGAGATATTAACATTTTTACAAAATTAGTCATTATTCAAGGTAATTTAAATTTTATTTCAAAAATGTCTTTTAAGGTAATATCTCTATCTACAGTTTGATAAATAAATATCGTTAGGCAGCCGTGTCAGCAAATTCGGCGATGCCATTGTAGTAAAAATAACATATTAATACTTCATAACAAATTAAAGTATCATTAAAAACTGAAAACAACATAAGAAGCATACAAGCAAAATTTTGTGCAAAAACGTTTGGTTTTTCCAAAGTTATGTAATAAAATCGAAATCGAACTTTCAACTTTTGTATAGAGGTAAATTTAGTTATATCGCATTATTTTGGTTTCAGGTAGAGTTTTAATATTTCCGAAAAAATTGAGCCGGCGGAAAAAACCGTTTTTCCGAATAAAAAAAAACGGAAAAATTGGGAAATTTTCAGAAAAATTGACTTTTTCATTTTTTAAATTTTATTCAAAGGGTAATACGAAAAAATGCAAAAGTCAATTTTTAATATCCATACACTAATATCAAATATATTTGACTAATTCTAACTAATAACTAATATCAAAATATATTTGATATTAGTGTTTGTATTTATAAAACAAATGGTGCTGTATTAACATCTTTATATATCATTCATTATTTTGTAGTTGGATATTTTAAATGGACTCCTTTTTGCGAAAAAAACAACCGACGTTTCTTAAATCAATTTAATTTAATTGAATGTTTTTTTTGAAATAAAGCATTTTTTAAATTCAAATAATGTTTAGTTGTTGGTTACTACTTTTTCAAATGTGTGTATTTTCCAAAAAAGCCAATTTTTCCAAGGCCTGGGAAAAAACGAAAAAAAAAGTTTTTTTCCTCAATTTTTCCGGTTTTTTTTTCATTCCAGGGACATAACTTTTATTTAAAATTTATTTTGTAATTTTTGCAATAAGTATTATGGTTCACACTGGAGCATGAAATATATCACTCATCTTACAACCCCTGTTCATTTTGAAGCAAGTTTTTATTTAATTAAGTATGCAATAAACAAGCAAAAAATAACAAATATAATGTAATGTAAAAAATCATTTCCAAATCATTTCATAATTTTTATTAAGGTTTAGACTGAGGAATAAAATATATCCCTCATTTTACAATCACTGAAAATGTGTGTGCAGCAAACAGTGTAAAATCTTTTTTCTTTACCACCTTAACCCTTAAATGCATAAGATTTTATTTTTGGACAAAATATACATGAAACATTTTTGAATGGCTAATATAAATAATTAAAAAATCAAAATCGAATATAAAAATTTATTTTGAAAAAAAAAGAAAAAAAACAATATGTAGCAAATTCCTCATCCGTCAGACCTTTTTTGCTACTCATGCTACAAAATATATAAAAAAATATAGGACTTTGGTGCATATTGTTGCAGATATACTACAATCAGTATTTCAGAAAAAAGACAATCACCAACTGTTTTTAGTAATAATATTTACCTAAAAGTACATATTATTTATTCAGTAACACCATGCATTCAAGCCAATACAAGTAATACTATAAATTTGCTACGCGATGCATTTAAGGGTTAAACTTCCCTTACTTTCCCTGATTTTCCAGAAAGCGGATATAACATTTTACTTTTTTTACCTTAGGAATGTAGATTTCCCTTCCACGGCGGCTCGTTCTTCGACCACGAAGGCCAACCTTACTGCGAAACCCACTACCACCTGCTCAGGGGCTCCCTCTGCGCGGGCTGCCACAAACCGATTTCGGGTCGTTGCGTGACCGCCATGTTCAAAAAATTCCACCCGGAGCACTTTGTGTGCGCGTTCTGCCTCAAACAACTTAACAAGGGCACGTTCAAGGAACAAAACGAAAAACCCTACTGTCACGGTTGTTTCGACAAGCTCTTCGGTTAGGGGGCTAATTTTAGTTAGTACGCGCTTTTAAGTTCAGTGCCTTTTCCATGAGATGCTTTTGGGGCTTGTGATTATTTGGTTTTTAGTCTACATACTGTTTGGACGTTTCGTTGTTTAGGTACACCTTTTATGTACTTACTTATGAAACGAGCCATGTTGTCAAATTTCTCATGGAAAAACGCATATAAAGGTTATGAACATCTTTAGACTGAACGAATATTTTATTTCACGCAATTTGTTAAGGTTTTATTAATTGATTTTATTAATTATATATTTTTTTATATATCTTGTAAATAGCATTATTTGTTGCGATATTTTTTTATTTTACGTAATTTTTTGTTACTTAAATTTTAGCTTGGCAAATTTTAAATGCGCACTATGGAACACATTTATTTTTTGCAGAAATATTGTAATTTTATGTTTACTTGTTTTAAGTTCCATTTTAAACCACTTGTTAATATTTAGCATTTTTTTAAGTAGGTTCAGTAAGTTGCCATCAAATTTTTAATTAATATTTTTAAGGCAGTGGCCAAACTAATTATAGTTTAAATAGTGTGAATCAGTCATTAAATAAATAAAAAAACTAATAAGAAGTAATCTTTTATTTAAAAAATCCTATTCCAATAAAAACATTTGTATTATTAATTTACATTACATTTTAGTCTTAAAAACATAATTTTTTGTATAAGCTACAAAAAGTTGATCAATCAAACAAAACGCAATAATTCAATATTTTTTTTATTAATATAGTTTATACAATAATATATAATATATATAATTTTAAATAATTAAACTGGACTTTAAAATGGCACCAAAAAACTTTGCTTTTGGGACCTGTGATTTTTTAAATTTTGTATCATTTAGCAAGTATCCCGTTTCTATCATTTTTAGGTAACAAATTATGACGCCAAAACAACATTTTGATAGTCTACATATTGTTTTGACGTTTTAGTGCTCATAATTGCTTGATTTCGCCACCAGGCGGCGCCATCACTAATACTTGTTTACCAAAAACAAAAACTTTGTTGTCTAGGTTCACCTTTTATGTACATACTTGCTTATGAAACGAGCCATGTTGTCAAATTTCTCATGGAAAAACGCATATAAAGGTTATGAACATCTTTAGACTGAACGAATATTTTATTTCACGCAATTTGTTAAGGTTTTATTAATTGATTTTATTAATTATATATTTTTTTATATATCTTGTAAATAGCATTATTTGTTGCGATATTTTTTTATTTTACGTAATTTTTTGTTACTTAAATTTTAGCTTGGCAAATTTTAAATGCGCACTATGGAACACATTTATTTTTTGCAGAAATATTGTAATTTTATGTTTACTTGTTTTAAGTTCCATTTTAAACCACTTGTTAATATTTAGCATTTTTTTAAGTAGGTTCAGTAAGTTGCCATCATATTTTTAATTAATATTTTTAAGGCAGTGGCCAAACTAATTATAGTTTAAATAGTGTGAATCAGTCATTAAATAAATAAAAAAAACTAATAAGAAGTAGGTACTCTTTTATTTACAAAATCCTGTTCCTATAAAAACATTTTTAATATTATTTATTTACATCACAATTTAGTCATAAAAACATACATTTTTGTATAAGCTACAAAAAATTTGACCAATAAATCCATTTGAAATAAAGTTAATATGTAGGTAGGTAGGTCAATATATTTATAAAATTTATTATAATTTAACAAAAATTTTGCAACAGGGCTGGGATATTTTTTTGTGTTCTGAACACCAAAAAACTTTGAGTAATAGCCAATTTTATGTTTTTTACCAAATTTGAACAAATGGCTTGGTTATGTTATTTAAATTATCAACACCAATACACAAGATATGAACAATTTTTACTTTTTCTTAAAGAATATATTTTTGTGCAGATTTTAAGCTTTCAACTTCAACGTCAAAAATCAATACTTATTAACCCCAATTTTTCCCCCCATGTGAATAATGTACCTATACATTAATTAAACGTATACATTCATTAAACAATGAACAAAATTATCCATTATACATCATCTTAATCACTATCAAACTCTTCATCTGAATACCCAGCCCTTTTAACCAAATTTAAATTCAACTCGGTCCTGTTCACTTCCTTTGTATGGGGTTCAGGAGATTTTTCCTTCTTGACTATCGACAAGTTTGGTGTTCTAGCTTCAGAATCCACCTCTGCCATACTTTTTAGTTGTAACCATTCCACATCAGTCTGCACGATTTCTTTGTCGATTTTTTCCAATAACGTGGACAAAGTTCGCTCCATATACTTTAATTTTATCAATTTTTGCTTGTCGATTTCCATTTTTGAGGTTAAATAATAGCTGTGAACTTAGTTACAAACTTTGACAGATGATCTGTAACAGATCTTCTTCTTTCGTTGCTAACTTCACCAGAGATAACTTCATTGTAGTTTATCTGTCACCGGTTAACCTAAAAGCCGTTTATCGTCAAATTTTTGCACAATTTTGCCTAATAAGACCAAAAATGGTTGTAAGACAATACGCGCAGGAACTCGAGTACTTGGAGAAGCTAAATCCTTACTGCTGGAGGATTAAAAAAGGTTTCCAGCCTAACATGAAAGTGGAAGGTATATTTTACGTAAATGCACCCCTGGAAAAATTAATGTTGGAGGAGCTTAGAAATTCCTGTAGACCTGGAATGACAGGAGGGTTTTTACCGGGGGTGAAACAAATCGCGAATGTGGCTGCACTGCCTGGAATAGTCGGGAAAAGTATTGGTTTACCGGATGTGCATTCCGGGTATGGTTTTGCCATTGGCAATATGGCTGCATTCGATATGAATGATCCAGAATCTATTGTGTCTCCTGGTGGAGTTGGTTTTGATATAAATTGTGGAGTAAGGTTGTTGCGTACCAATTTGTTTGAGAAGGATGTTTTGCCTGTTAAAGAACAGTTGGCACAGAGTTTGTTTGATCATATTCCTGTTGGAGTTGGGTCCAAAGGTAAGAACAAATTTATAATATTAGATTCAAGAGAATCTTAAGTTTGATCAATTATTATGGGATGATATTTGACAAGGTTTTATGATGGAGCTACAAAATTCAAATTCAAGAAAATAAGCAAGATGCTTATTTTCTTGAATTTAAAATAACCTATGAGTTCCTCCTAAATGTATTTTAAAATGTTTAAAACGTCTAAAAACCAATGGTCTGTGGAGAAAATTATAAATGTATGCTTGAATTACCTTAAAATATTAAAATTTATTTAAAAATGTCAACATTATTTGAGAATGTAAAAAATGGTAAAATTACTTTAGAACCTTAAAAATGCTTAATTACCTTAAAATGACAAGATTTATTTAGGAAAATGAGAATGAAAAAAAATGCTAAAAATTCTTTAAAATGTGAGATTTATTTAAGAATGTCAAAAATACATTTTAGAATGTTTAAAACGTTTTAGAATGTCAAACCCATATAAATACTAACATTACCTTAAAATTTAAAATGAATTGAAAATGTGAAGATGTTAAAATTACTTTAAAATATTAAAATTGCTAAAATTACCTTAAAATGTTAAGATTTATTTAAGAATATTACTCAAGAATAAAAAAAAATTATAAACAGTTAAAATGTTAAATGTTAAAATTACCTTAGAATGTGAGATTTATTTAGGAATGTCAAAGATACATTTTTGAATGTTTATTTAAGAATATCAAAGTTACATTTTAGAATGTTCTCAAGTAATGTTAACATTTTAAGGTAATTTTATGATTTATTTGTTTTTGGCATTCTAAAACATTCTAAAATGCTTGAGAATGTGTACATGTTAAAATTACTTCTAAACATTAAAATTGCTAAATTAACTTTAAAATGTCAAGATTTATTTAAGAATATTACTTAAGAATGAAAAAAAATGTTAACATTCTTTAAAATGTCAAATTTACAATGTTAATATTAAAAACAGTTAAAATGTCAAATGTTAAAGGTACCTTAAAATGTGAGGTTTATTCGGGTTTATTTAAGAATGTCAAAGATACATTTTAGAATGTTTACAAATAATGTTGACATTTTAAGGTAATTTAATCATTTATTTGTTTCTGACATTCTAAGACGTTTTAAACATTCTAAAATGTTAAAATTACTTTAAAACTTTAAAATTCCTAAAATTACCTTAAAATGTCAAGATTCATTTAAGAACATTACTTGAGATAAAACAAATTATAAAAATACTTATTTAAGAATATTACTTGAGAATGAAAAAAGATGTTAAAATTCTTTAAAATGTCCAATTTACATAGTCAATATCATAAAGATCTTAAAGTTACTTTAAAATATGAGATTTAATAATTACTTATGTCAAAAATACATTTTAGAATGTTTAAAACATTTTAGAAAGTCAAAACCATATAAATGCTTAAATTTACTTCAAAACCCTAAAAATTTAAAATTAGGTACTTGAGAATGTGAAAATGTTAAAATTACTTTAAAATCTTAAAATTGCTAAAATTACCTTAAAATGTCAAGATTTATTTAAGAATATTAGTCAAGAATGAAAAAAAATTATAAACAGTTAAAATGTTAAATGTTAAAATTACCTTAGAAAGTGAGATTTATTTAAGAATGTCAAAGATACCTACATTTTAGAATGTTCACAAGTAAAGTTAACATTTTAAGGTAATTTTATCATTTATTTGTTTTTGGCATTCTAAAACGTTTTAAACATACTAAAATGTTATGAATGTGAAAATATTAAAATTACTTTAAAACCTTAACATTTTTTTATCATTTATTTGTTTTAAACATTCTAAAATGTTTGAGAATGTGAACATGTAAAATTACTTCAAAACATTTAAATTGCTAAATTCACGTCAAGATTTATTTAAGAATATAACTTGAGAATGAAAAAAGATGTTAAAATTCTTTAAAATGTCAAATTTACAATGTTAATATTAAAAACAGTTAAAATATCAAATGTAAAAATTACCTTAAAATGTGATATTTTTTAAGAATGTCAAAGATACATTTTAGAATGTTTACAAATAGAGATGTAAGCAAATTTTTATAACAATGTCATGCCATGATCATAATGAAAATGACAGTCATGTCATTTATTTTAATGACACCCTTGTCATAAATTTTTTACAATTGAAATTTCTGACTGTCAAAAAAATAACTGACCGTCATTAAAATATTTGAGTCACAAAAATATATATAAAAAATTGCAGTTTTAAACCAGTTAGATATCTTTATATTCTACTAGGATTTTTGTTTAATTTTTTGATTTTGTTTAATTTTTGTTTAATACATTTATGTCTATTAATGTTTTAGTCACTCGCCACTTGTCTGGTGTACATAAATGACAATAAATGACATTTACAAATAATGTTGACATTTTAAGGTAATTTAATCATTTATTTGTTTTTGACATTCTAAGAGGTTTAAAACATTCAAAAATGTTAAAATTACTTTAAAACTTTAAAATTCCTAAAATTACCTTAAAATGTCAAAATTTATTTAATAACATTGCTTGAGAAAAAAAAATTATAAAAATTCTTTAAAATGTCCAATATCATAAAGATGTTAAAGTTAGGTACTTTAAAATATGAGATTTATTATTTATGTCGAAAATAAATTTTAGAATGTTTAAAACATTTTAGAATGTTAAAACCATATAAATGCTTAAATTTACTTTAAATTGCTAAAATTACCTTAAAATGTCAAGATTTATTTAAGAACATGAGAATAAAAAAAATGCTAAAACTTGTTAAAAATGTGAATATCATAAAAATTTCTTTAAAAGGTGAGATTTAGTTTAAAATGTCAAAACGATATAAATGCTAAAATTACCTTCAAATGTTAAGATTTATTTAAAAATGTCAATATTACTTGGTAATAAAAAATGCTTAATTTAGATATATGCAAAATGTCAAATAAATATTTAAGATTGTCATAAATACATTTAGAATATTAAAAACAGAATGTAAATTCATTTCTTCCTCACATATTTTCTTATCTTTAGTTGATATTACAAACAAATAATCTTCCTTAAACTTTTGACGGATTTTTTGCTGCCTCAGGGATAATTCCAATGAACGCAAAAGACCTAGAGGAAGCCTTGGAGATGGGCATGGACTGGTCCTTAAGAGAGGGCTACATATGGGCCGAAGACAAGGAACACTGCGAAGAATACGGTAGAATGCTGAACGCTGATCCGGCCAAAGTCAGCACCAGAGCTAAAAAACGTGGCCTACCGCAGCTAGGCACCTTAGGAGCCGGAAATCACTATGCGGAAATCCAGGTTGTGGAAGAAATCTACGACAAATGGGCTGCTTGCAAGATGGGCATTGAAGAAAAGGGCCAAGTTTGCGTTATGATTCACTCTGGTAAGTTTATTGTATGTACTATGCTCCACACCTCAAAGTCCCACCACGTGACCACGTACGGAACGCAGTCTTTTGAAAATTTGGCATATAAGGCTTTTTAGGTTATGTATCTTTCAAAGTATAGTCAACTAAAGAAATAATATTATGTTTAGGCGTTAAAAATGTATAAATCTTTATAACATTAATATAACAATGGATGGTTTAAGAATTTAAGAATATAAATACTGCATTTAATGAAATTCCAAAGTGTATGGTGCCAAATAAGTAATATTTTTGTGCATTTGGTCCAAATATCTGGTTTTCTTCATAAAATAATTTTAACTAAACATCATTCATTAAAAAAAATCTAGCTTCTCTATTATGGAATAAGAATATCTGTTTTAAAGGTAGGTTAATATATTATAACAAAAATATCATCTAATTTTGTAATTTTAAGGTTGGAAAAATTTATTTTGACCAAAATAAATAAGTATTTTGGATTATTTAAAAGACTGTATAATATGATATTTAAAAATGTGGTACTTTTTCTTATCCAGCTTAAAGTGTACCTACTAAGTTTTGTCAATACAAATAGTTACAAAGCTTCGACTGAACTTGATCTACATCGAAAAATCATTATAACTTTAAAAATTTTAATAAATCATATGTCATGGGACTATTAAATATTTTCACATTGCAAGTTTCTCTAAAAATTGTTTGTTTCCTTATAATCTAACTTAAAGTAGGTACGCTGAGAGGTATGCACAAGTTTTGTCATTAGAAGTATAAAAGCTTCAATTTAATTTGAACCATATTCAACAATTATTTAGTATACCTATATTTATTTATGACCATATTAACACACTCTTCAAAATAATCCACTTATTTATTTTGGTCAAAATAGATTTTTCTAACCTTAAAATACAAAATAAGGTGATATTTTTTGTTCTAATACATTAACCTACCTTTGATACAGATATTCTTATTCCATAATAGAGAATCAAGATTTTTTTAGTAAATGCTGTTTTGTTAAAACTATTTTATGGAGAAATGTAGACCTAATGCACAAAAATATCACTTATATTGCACCTTATACTTTGGAATTTCATTAAATGCAGTATTTATATTCCTAAATTCTTAAACCAACCATTGTTATTTTGATACTATAAAGATTTATTAACTTTTAACGCTTAAACATGTTATGCATAAGCAGCAACACTATAAATATTATTTATTTCATTGACTATACTTTGACAGATACATAACCTGAAAAGCCTTAAATGCCAAATTTTCAAAAGACTGCGTTCCGTACGTGGTCACGTGGTGGGACTTTGAGATGTGGAGCATAGTACACATACAGGCATTTTAAATGTTTATATGAAAACTAGGTAGCAGAGGTTTTGGCCACCAGGTGGCAACAGATGCTTTGGTGTCAATGGAGAAGGCAATGAAAAGAGACAACATTGAAACAAACGACCGTCAGTTGGCCTGCGCGAGAATCAATTCTCCTGAAGGCCAGGACTATTTGAAGTCCATGGCTGCAGCAGCCAATTTTGCCTGGGTTAACAGGAGTTCTATGACCTTCCTCACAAGACAGGTAAAATAATTTTTTTTGCTTAATTTTGAGTGTTTTATTGCGTTTTTTGTAGGCTTTTGCCAAACAGTTTAATATGGCCCCGGATGACTTGGATATGCATGTAATTTACGATGTTTCCCATAATATTGCCAAAGTTGAAGAGCATATTGTGGATGGGAAACAGAAAACATTATTAGTTCACAGAAAGGTAAGACATTTTTTTAACAGTAAATTAATTGTAATACCTTTTAAAACTATTTCAGCTTTTCATAAAATGCTTTTTTGACATAAATTGTAAATTTTATCTTTTTGATTTCAGTAAATTGGAAATCCCAAAAAAACATTTTAATTTAAAATGTCTAAAATGTGTTTTTACATTTTAAAAATATTTTGACGTTCTAAACATTAACAATTAACAATCTAAAATGTATGTAGATTATTATAAACACATTTTGGAACTTAAAAAATAAAAATAGAAATGTCAAAAACACATTTTAAAATTTACTGTGCTTCACACCTTGAATACAAATATTAAAGGTATTTTATCTGGCAGTTTAACGCTAATTTCGTATTTTCTTCTGAAATTAATGTATGTACCTATATTTTGTGTTATAAATTAGGACGTTTAAACACAAAAATACATATATTGTTTTATTTTCCGATAATAACACGAAATTAGCATTAAACTAACAGATCCATAACCTCATTTTTTTGAATTTAAATGTGGGGACTTTTGGATATGAATCATAGTACAAAACACTTTTTAGAATGTCAAATTGTCAATTCCAAAAAAATACGTTTTAAAATGTAAAAAACAAAATCAAAAAAAATACTTTTAAATTCCTTGTTTGTCAAATTGGCAAAAACAAAAATTTAAAAAAATAAAATGTCAAGTTTTTAAAAATATCACAAAAACACATTTTAGAATGTCACAACCATACAAAATTTCAATTTCAAAACGTCTTTTTAAGAATATATTTTATAATGTCAATTACAATTGTCAATTTGTCATTGTTAATGCCATAAAAGGATCAAAAATACAAGTTTTAAAATGTTAAATGTTAAAATGTTAAATTTATGCCAAAAACCCATTTTAAAATGAGAAAACCATGAAAAAAGTTAAAATTTCTTTAAAATGTCAAGGTTGGTTTAATAATGTCTAAAACACATTTTATATAACATATAACACATATTTATATTAAAAACATATTTTAGAATGACAAAACATATTTTAGAATGTACAAAACACTTTAGAATGTTACATCGTCAATTTGACATTCTTAATGCCATAAAAATGTGAAAAATACACGTTTTAAAAAGTCAAAATAAATTTTAAAATGTCAAAACCAAAAAAATTAAAATTACTTAACATCAAAGTTTATTTAAGAATGTCTAAAACACATTTTACACTCTTTTAGAATGTACTAAACACTTTTGACATTGTTAATACCACAAAAATGTCATTTTAAAATGTCAAAAACAAAAATGAACGTAAAAATCATAAAAGTTACTTTTAAATGCCTTGTTTGAGAATGTAAAAAACACACCAAACCATAAAAAAGTTACTTTTAAATTCCTTGTTTTAGAATGTCAAAAACACATTTTGGAATGTAAAAACCAAAAAATATTGTTTTTAAAAATTTAAAATATTAAGAAGTTTTTAAGAATATTACAGTTAAGATAGTTTAAACACATTTTAGACTGTCACAACCATAAAAAAGTTAAAATTACTTTAAAATGTCAAGGTTTATTTAAGAATGTTTACATATTTTTTAATAATTTAAAATTAAAGTTAATAATAATTTAAAGTTAAAGTTAATAAAAAACAAAAATGTGAACGTAAAAATCATAAAAGTTACTTTTAAGGCCTTGTTTAGGAATTTTAAACACATTTTAGAAGGTCAAACCCAAAAAATAATGTTTTTTAAAATTTAAAATGTTAAGAATTTTTTTAGAATATTATGACCATAAAAAAGTTTAAATTACTTTAAAATTTTAAGGTTTATTTAAGAATGTTTAAAACACATTTTATATTGTTAAATGCCTATTTTAAAATGACAAAAAATCTTTTAGAAAACACTTCAAATTGTCATACCATAAAAATGTCAAAAACAAAAATTTAAACGTAAAAATCATAAAAATTATTTTAAAATGCTTTTTTTAAGAATGTCAAAAACACATTTTAGAATGTCAATACCACAAAATGTCAAAAATACACGTTTTAAAATGTCAAAAAAACAAAAATGTGAACGTAAAAATCATAAAAATGACTTTTAACTGCCTTGTTTAGGAATGCCAAAAACACATTTTAGAATGTCCAAACCAAAAAAATAACGTTATTTAAAATTTAAAATGTCAAACAGTTTTTTAGAATATTACAGTTAAGATAGTTAAAACACATTTTAGACTGCCACAACCATGAAAAAATTAAAATTACTTTAAAATGTCGAGGTTTATTTAAGAATGTCTAAACACATTTTATATTGTTAAAAACATATTTTAGAATGACAAAAAATCTTTTAGAATGAACAAAACACTTTTTAGAATGTCAAATTGTCAATTTGACATTGTTAAAACCATAAAAATGTCAAAAATACACGTTTTAAAATGTCAAAAACAAGTGTGGACGTAAAAATTTAAAATGCTTTGTTTAAGAATGTCAAAAACACATTTTAGAATGTCAAAACCAAAAAATTATTCTTATTAAAAATTTAAAATGTCAAGAAGTTTTTAAGAATATTATAGTTAAGATAGTAAAAACACATTTTAGACTGTTACAACCATAAAAAAGTTAAAATTACTTTAAAATGTCAAGGTTTATTTAAGAATGATTAAAACACATTTTTTTGTTAATAGCATAAAAATGTTAAAAATACACGATTTAAAATGTCAAAAACAAAAATGTGAACGTAAGATCATAAAAATTACTTTAAAATGCTTTGTTTAAGAATGTCAAAAACACATTTAGAATGCCAAAACTAAAAAAATGTAGAACATATTTTAGAATGTACTAAACACTTTTTAGAGTGTAAAATTGTCAATACCATAATTAATAAAAACTCATTCCACACTACATGATACATATAACTAATTTTAAAACATGTACCTATACGAGGTGTGTTCAGAAAATATCGGGAATTTTCGTTTTTTGAAACAAATATTTATTTATTCGTCTACATTAATGTTGTCACCTTCAAAATAGTCCCTATTGGATATTATGCACATGTGCCAGCTCTTCTTTCAATGCTCGAAACACTTCTAAAACTCGATCTTTGGGATAGCCTTTAGTTCTTTCAGCGATGCGCTTTTAATGTCATCTAATTTTAGAACAAATTTTGCTGCCACGCGTTTCATGCCCAAAACATTTGAAAAAATTTCATGGGATGAGCCAATCAATATACCAACATCATCAGCGACTTCTCTGATGGTTTATAACCATTTCTTCCACTTTTTCCATGTTTTTATCGGTTGTTAGTTCTTGTGCGTTCGCGGCGTTCGTCATCTTCAACGTCTTCAGGGCCATCTTGGAAACTCTTATGCCACTTGTAAACTCTTGTTTTACTTATAGCAGACTCACTATAGGCCTTTGTTAACATTTCACAGAATTTATTTCATTTGTTAAGCAAAATTGGATACAAATTCTTTGATCCATTTCTTTTAACGAACGAAAAATCGCCGAGCTCATAAAACACGTCTAACCTTAGCGGCTGCCACAGACAAAGTAAACAATGAAAACAGCTAAAGTTTTTATCACACTTCTGGGGCATGTATACCAACATAATAAAGAAAATTTTATGACAACCGGACCCGCGAAACTTAACAATTCCCGTTATTTTCTGAACACACCTCGTACATCTTACTAACGTTTTAAGGGTTCAACAAGAGCTTTTCCTCCACACCACCCCTTAATCCCAGTGGACTACCAGCTCACAGGCCAGCCTGTACTAATCGGGGGTACCATGGGGACGTGCAGTTACGTTTTAACCGGCACCGAGCAAGGGATGCTGGAAACGTTCGGGTCTACGTGCCACGGAGCAGTAAGCTTCACAAAATTACCAACAAACTTTGCGCTAACTTCTCCTTTAAAATTTTAAGGGTAGAGCTTTATCGAGGGCGAAATCCCGGCGCAACATAGAGTACACGGAGGTTCTAAGAAAACTAGAAGACAGCGGAATTTCGATTAGAGTCGCTTCGCCAAAGTTGGTAATGGAAGAGGCCCCTGAGTCGTACAAGAACGTCACTGATGTAGTCAACACTTGCCACGCTGCTGGCATCAGCAAGAAATGCATTAAGTTAAGACCCATTGCTGTGATAAAAGGTTAGAAATATAAATGGTTTTATTATTACACTTGCATTTATCTCTCATGGAAATCCAAAACAAAGTCGTGGATATAATTTTGTTTAAATATCTTTTATATTTAAACTTGTATAGAAATATGCATTGATGAAACGAAAGGTTAAAATAATGCTGCAGGCAAATAAGACTTATAATATACTTAAAATATTATATAAAACAGTAATTCAATCTAATAGTTCAATTTTCGGTTAAAGACAGAAATTAATCCCTTTTAATTAATTTCTATATACAAGTATCTGATAAATAAATATAAAACTAATGATAATGTATTATTTGTTTAACCTTTTCACCATTTTCCTATATAATGGTAACCATTATAACCGCCCTGCCTAACAATGGGAATAATGAACCTATTTCAATATTCACTGTGATTTGAACCAATCGGGTTTTAAATTAAAAAAAGTGAAGTAAGCTTTACTATTAATTGATAAAAAGTAAGGTTAAATTCGTCTGACAGTCCGACTTCAAATGTTTAACAACTAAAATTCGCTTTTAATTATTTCATGTGTTCGTCGTAGATAAAATATAGTATGCAACTCGTGCCTTATTAAAACTTGTGACTAAAATGCTGTTTATCAAACTTGATACATAAAATCTTAAGATTTATTGAAAACGTTAAAAAATCATTTTATGTAAAAACAGGGTTTATCATAACCATAACAGGGGTTATCATAACCATATTATATATATTAAGCATCTCAGAAGTCAACCGAACATTTGAGAATATCAAATTAGTAAATTATTATTAGTAATATTATTATACAACAAGTTTGATAAACAGCATTTAGTCACGAGTTTTAATAAGGCACGAACGTTGCTTGCGTAGCGTGTTTTAATAAACGAGTGTCCAGATTAGAGATGGAAAAACTATCAGTAACTATGGTACTTTGCTAAAGAATTTAATTAAATACTTTGACACTGTCAAATTGACAATAATATTTATTATTGATAATTTACTTGTCAATTATAAATAAAAAGATAATTGGACGCCTTTCTGCAGAAAGGAACCAACCCACAAAACCAAAAAAATCGAGATATTTAGCCTATGAACTAATTAAGTATGTATAATTTATCTGCAAAATAGGCCATAGCCAAAATGCAAGTGTAGTGAAATCTATTAATCATTGAACCAACCAACATTCAGTAATAGTATGGATTACTAATCCAGAATTAGAATCTGTAGAATATCTGTGTGGGTTGGATCTTTTTTGTAAAAAAGCAGGCTGGTAGACCCACTACCAAAGTCTTTAATGATTTCCTGCTTCTGCAAAATATAAAGTCTTGATGCATTTTTTTGGTAGCTTACAAGATGAGGTGGGGTTGGAAGATGATGTGGACGAATTTCAAATAGAATCAAAATTAATTCATATTACCATTATAATAGTAATATCAGTTGTATTTTGTTTGGAAATAAATAATTGTCGCTTTTCTTTAAATACATACATCAGATAGTAGTTTTCATAAATTGCAGAAAGGAACCAACCAACAAAAGCCCATTTTTTTCGTCACCCTTACACATAACATCACAAAATCCACCTGATGAAATTATTAAATTATATCCCTTAAACCTCCGTAAGTCCAAAATCTGCATAAAATTAACAGGTAATTTTAAAATTATTAAAATCTTTGATAGCTTTTTTCTGTTTCATAATGGTGTGGGTTGGTCCCATTCTGCAGAAAGCCGTCCAATTATGGCAAAAATAATAGCAACGAATTCGAATGTATGAAATTATGCCAAATGCCACAATGGAAGAAAAAGTACATCGCCTTATGGATATTTTTGGAGTAAAAAAGTAACGAATTTGGTTTTATAAATATAACATCACACATTATTTTCACATTATTCACCATTGGACAACATTTACGTTCACAAAAAAATTTAATTTCTTTTATATAAATTTTTCTCAAAGCGAAGATTATTATCCGCTAGGAATACTTTTTCTTCTGGGCCGTAAAGCAACCTATATTTAACTACTTTTTTTATATGATTTTACTGATCCAAGCACCACCAAAGCCAAATTAATTGCATTTTTAACTACGAATTTCGACAACTCAACTTGACAACTGCACAATGCAACCTACAATAATTTATACATAACCACAATGGGGTAGTTAAATTTTTTCTGACCTATACTTTTTATGGTTTTATTCAAGGCGTTTTGTAATTTTAAACATGTCTGTGAAATCAGAATTTCAATTGAGTTTACCGTTTTCGAGATATTTACAAAAAATATAAATTTTTATGACGTCACAAACCTCGCCATGTGACCAACATTCTAAGATTTCTATTGGTTGAAAATTACCCTGTTGTCAAGTTGTCTTGTTAATGATTTCATTCGTTTATGTCAGAAAATACCCGAAGAGGTTATGTACAAATACTGTCACTGTCAGTTGAGTGAAAGAAGAAGAAGAGGTTAAAGAAAATTCTGAAATTATAAAAGTTTTATTGATAGGTTTACACATTGAAACACCGTGTGAAACCTAATAAAATGTAATAAATAGGTACCTAATAACTGTCTAAAGCAGAGTTTAATATATTTCATAGAGAAAAGTGGCAAAATAAAGCTGAAAATGAATTAAATAAATTTACAAAAAATAACAGTAAATGTAAGTTAACAATGGTATTTATGATATTTGTGTATAGTTTTTATAAAACTTGCATCCCTGATGATGAGCATCAAAACCTTTTGTAAGATTAAAAAAAAGTATGACAAACTTTTGGACTGTTCGAAAATACTATGCTCTAGAGTACATTTTTGTACTTTTCGACAATTCTGGTTTAAATATTGCTGCAATAACGTTCATAGTAGGTAAAGATAGTGTAGGGTCAACAAATAGACATTTTCATTAAAATTATTCAAACAGATGGTCACCATGGTGTGCACATATCTTCCTTATTACGAGGTATCATATTACTGTTTGATATTTTAGAGTCCAAGATATATCTAAAAGAATATAAAGAACTAGGCATTATACTAATGAAATGCATTTACGACAAAATATAATATAGGTACTTACTTTATTTGTTTAAAAGCTCCAATGTTCAATGTAACCAACCATTCCACAAGATTCCTCTGCTTTGGAGTCCGTTATTAATAAATCACTTATCTAATATCAATTACAAATAACAATAACATTGATTTTCAATAATCTAAATTTAAAAAAAACATAACCCGAAAAAAAGAAACGTCAAAAAATCAATTCTTCTTCTTCTTCTCAACTAAAATTATGATCAAGTGGTTTTAAAACTAAAATATTATAACGTGGCGCCATCTATCGTAAGAATCTTAAACTAAACACACTGGCAACTATAGAAAAAGCTGACAACGTTGTCAATAGCCTAGTGACGTAATTAGGAGATCTTTTTTTGTAAATATCTCGAAAACGGTAAACTCAATTGAAATTCCGATTTCACAGAAATGTTTAAAATTACAAAACGCCTTGAATAAAACCATAAAAAGTATAGGTCAGAAAAAATTTAACTACCCCATTAGATTTATAACTAGCTTAGTTTGTTTTAATCAATGCGACCAACTTGACAACTGTATTTACCAACCAAAACCCTAAATTTGCAACGTTGCCGCAGTCCAGATAAAAAAATGAACTTTAGCTCACAATTCTTGTGCTTCTGGTTTTGCTGTTTATACAGATTAATAATAGTTTTATACGTGTTTCTCTCAGAGGCATTTTTGTAATTGAATTACTTTAATTTAATTACCGAGAAAAAATGGTAATTGTTATTGATTTTTAAATTACTAAACAAATTTAATTGATAATTAATTTTAACAATTATTTTAAGAGTAATTGAATTACTTACAAGGAATTAAATTACTTAGGGCCGGTTTTTTAATCGTTGGTTAAGTTTATCTTACGGTTAACTTTTTTAGATACTATTGTGTTAACAATAGTATCTAAGGATATTAACCTTAAGATAAACTTAACCAACGATTGAAAAACCGGCCCTTAGTAATTGAAATTATTTATTTTTAATTCAATTACCCAATAATTTAGCTTCTCCAAAACAATTTAAAGAAAAAATGTTGAACTATAAGAAGTTATTGAAATAAAATAAGTAATTTCTTTTCTTGGTAATTGAACTACATTGGTTAGTCTTCGTAATTGGTAATTTATATTTTTCTGCCAAAATAATTGGTAATTGTAATTTTTTTTTAAGTAATTGCGACAGCTCTACCTATAGGTAAGTTTATTGTAATGATAGGTAATAGAAACACAACTAATTGACTTAAATATCATTTTTATTGAGAATAATTTACATAAATTACCGTTTTCGGCTTAAAGGAAAACCTTAGTGCCAATTATATACATATATTTGTTGGTATATCACAAGGTAGGTATAAATTAAAATAATTAATACATTCTTACAGCTACGTAACTAAACTAAAAACAAGTCTAAAAATTCTAAAATCAAAAAAATATAGTAATTATGTTTAGGAATGTTAGCCTACATTTTAATTTTATAAATTAATTTATCCATGTGGTAATGGAATGATGATTATATCACTGGTATTTTGTGTCTAACAAAGTTTTAAACGTAGGTGTACATTTTATTTATATGTACTTACATGTTCAAATAAAGCATTTTAATTTAGTTAAATGAAATGTGTCAAAAGTTTACCAATGATACCTTACGAATATTTCGCGTTTTTTACCAGGCAAAAAATAATTTGGGAAAAAAAGACCTTTGGACGAATAAAAGACTACGTTTCGGCATTAAAACTGGCAGCAAAAAACTAAAATATTATTATTTTTGTTCTCTGTCATTTGTCTTATTGTTGACATTGTCGTATTGACTGAGAGTATCCGGCCGATCAGTGTCTGCGTAGTTGAGGAATTTTTGAACGTCCACCGCCCTTGTGGTGACAGGGGCGTACATTTTGGCCATCGAAGGGTCCCGTTTTATTTCCGGAGAATGCATCACCAACATCGGTCCGCACTCCTCGTCTTTTATTATGCAATCGCAGTCCATCTCGTCGCATTTCGGGCATTTCTCCAGTAGATCGGATTTTATGGAACTTTTCAGTTTCTGAAAGGAAAACTCTCTAAGTTATAAGAAAAAAACCCATTTAAATTTTCAGTTGTTCGTGGTTTCTAGAAAGTCCAGCAGTGTTAAATCGTGGGTCTTTGGTGGCCAGTCTAACCCAAAAATAATCGGTTATCATTCTCGACCATATTTTGCCAAAAGTCCTTGCTTATTGTTGATTGTTTCGACCTTAACTTGATGAAACTTGATGAAACGTCAAATGTTTAAAAACTAAAATTCGCTTTTAATTCTTGTGTTCGTCGTAGATAATAGTATATTAGGTATCAAGTTTGATAAACGCCATTTTATACACGAATTTAATTTAGGCTTAAGTTAATGACTGTATAGAAAAGTTTATAAACGAGGTGCATACTATACTTTTTCTACGACAAATACTTATTATTATCTTAAAATGATTTAAATCAAAAATTTGTATAGAGCGCCATCTATGAAACAACAGGGGAAACTGTCAAATGTCACATTTTTACATTTTATAAACACAATTATAAAGGTTATAAATCGAAATGTATTGAAAATTGGCAGTTTTTCACAGTGAAAGTAAAGGAAATGTTTTATGAGGACTTTACAGTAGAGTCCATGCCCGAATTTAAGTTATAGGTTAGGTACTACCGGCGAAATTAAAAGGTCAGTACAATGTTCATATACACTTTTTAAATATTGGCGTTGAGAAGCTATTTAATACTTTTGTATTTTTTTATTGAGATAATAAAATAATTTTCACATTTAGTATTATTTTACAAGAAAAGCAATTTATTTTAACGATTGTATGACATTTGACAACTGTCAACTAACTTAAAACTAACTTCAGCCCGTGACTAAAAACCTGTTGCTAACTTCAGTCCGTGACTAAAGCGCCATTAAGCCACAACTTGTCAATGAGTATTTAAAAGGTCACTTAGTGTCATGGAAACATGTACGATAAAGGGCGTTTTAAAGGTGGGAGTAGAAAAAATATAGTATGCAACTCGTGCCTTATTAAAACTTTTGAGTAAAAACTAAAATGCTTTTTATCAAACTTGATACATAAAATCTTAAGATTTATTTAAAAACGTCAAAAAATCATTTTATTATCAATTATTAGAATTAAAAATTTCGAAAAAATTATTAATTTTTCGATAGCCACGATCTATTATAGATAAAAAAACTTAAAGTTAAAATTAATAAAAAAATAAAAATTAAAAAAAAATTGGTGGTTCGTCGGAATCGCTCAATTGGAACCAAAGTTATAATCGATGATACATTGGCAAAATCGTTATAATCATGAAAATTTACAAAATCATATCTGCAAAAACAATTGACAAACCGTGCTAAAATTAAAATTGAATTTTTATTTTGAGTCACGGAACCCATGGAAAAATTGCCATGGAATTTCGAAACAGCAAGGGATTTTTTCGTGTCGAATTCACGTAGAATTCCCCATAAGGATAGTTTATTGAAAAGGAAGTGCCAAAAACTTTTTCTGGGGTAAACAAAATTATTTGCAAAATAACTCATTTTTAATGCTGCTCAAAAAATTATTAATGATTTGGGAACCTTCTCAATCCTTTTGAGAAAAGGTCCAAATGATGATTAACCTTTTGAGCATAATTAAATATGAGTTATTTTACAAATAATTTTAAGGCCCAGAAAAAGTTTTTGGCGCTTGGTTCCTTTTCGATAGCGTTATCCACAATCCACACAACAAGGTCTGTACTAAAAATACAAAAAATCACTGCAACACTGCACAGTTTAACGGCGGCCATTTTTGTCGTTTACAATTTTTGTGCTTTGGGTTTGTGCTCTGTTTATACAGATTAATAATCGTTTTAAACGTTGTGTTTCTCATAGTAAGCCTGAAAAGAGTCCTTAAAGTGCTAAGAACAACCATTTTACTCCTCTATTGGGGCTGTCATAAAACTGAAAAATGTCAATTTTAAGGTTATATTATAACCCACAAATTAACCTTCAAATTGTCATTTGACAGCTCTGATAGAATAAGGTATATTTATTATAAAAGAGGAGTAAAATGGTTGTCTTTAGCACTTAAAGGCCTTATTTGAGGCTTACAACCCAGACCGCAAAATCACATTCCCTGCACATGTCAGGAATATTCCCAGGAATATTCCAATCGTCCCAGAATATTCCCAGGAATATTCCTGGCATAATCAAATGTCCGCTTTTTGGTTAACCCAAGCATCATAAAAAGAATATTCCATATATCTGCCTGCAGAAGACTCAAGGATTGTTAGGGGAATATTCCTTGATATAATTTGGGGATTATTCCCAGCCCTTGTTGCCTCTTATACCCAGGAACTTAACTTAAGTATAGCCATTATTGAGTTACTGAGTAGATCAGTCCCACTCTAATCATTGTTTGGCTGTGTCATCACAGACGCACATCTCCAACTAATATTATTAACCTATCGGTATATATAGTTATCAAGCGTGCGTAAGCAACGGTGAGAGGTATTGCAACTAAACTAATGAATATTCACTGGGAATATTCTTAGATGATTCTTGGAAGTTTTAGCGGATCATTCTAGGAATATTCCCAATGAATATTCCTAGAATGAAGCGGATTATTCCTAGGCGATAGGGAATATTCCTAGAATATTTTCGAACCTTCATTGCAGTCTGGGAAGTGCCTCTGTAAGAAACACAACGTTTAAAACAATTATTAAACAGCACAAACCCAAAGCACAAGAATTGTAAACAACAAAAATGGCCGCCGTTAAACTCTGTGCAGTGTTGCAGTGATTTTTAGTATTTTTAGCATGAGATAGAACAGACCTTGTTGTGTGGATTGTGGCGTTATCTATAGGTATATATATTATATGAATAAAAACAACACTCTTTTAAACTTTTACTATTTTATTTATGTTTTTTTATAAAATTAAGAATTGTTTTGCTCAGGGTTCGCCTGATTTAAATCATGATTTAAATCAAGTGATTTTAATCAATGATTTAAATCAGTTTTAAAATTTTTTTTTTAAATCTAAAAAAAAAACATTTAAAAGATCTAAAACTAAAGCACAATAATATCTTGATACTATTTAAATAAATTCATATGCATTGAAAAACTGCTTATTTTTTTAAAGGAATATACAAAAAAATATATGTTTATTTGTTTATTTATAAAGTAGTGCCAATATAATATTATAGTCAAGTTATTTTTAGTATTTTTTTTAATGGTAATGGTAAGCTTATAATTTTTAATATCGTAATGAATAAAAGAAAAAAATCATTTTTTGTTGTTTTTTTTTTGATAAAAATAATTGATTTTAGATTTTTTTTAATCATGATTTTTTTGAACCCTGGTTTCGCTACACGGTAGCTTCTTCTGAAGAAGCGAAACAATTGTTAATTTTTTAAACAACATAAATAAGATAGTGAAACTTTAAAACAGTGTTGTTTTTATTCATATATTAAATGATTCCTTCTTGAAACTTACCTCTGTTGGACACAACTTGAACTTGATCGCAGTTCAAAATAGGACATCCTTAATAACCTAAACTAACACTCACCTCCAAAAAGGTCTCTCCAGGCGACTGCACGATAACCACAATCATGTAAATGGGAATGCAGAGGATCGACAGCGCCGAAATGATCCAGCCGATGACGATGGCCCACGTGGGGTAGTGGTAGTTGCCGTTATTGTAAGTGGGCGGTTCGTAGTCGATGATCAGGAACACCCAGAGCGAGAATATCATTAAAGGTGTGGCGAACATCCAGCAGAACTTGATGTACATGCCCGGATGACGACCCGTCATGGTTTTCACGTTCTTGCTCAGCCTGTAAGCGCCGTAGAACCACGTGATGGCTATGACTTCGAAAAAGGCGAGGTACATTATGGAGATCGTGGCCGCGTAGTGGTCTATCAGCTGGAAGAAGTATATTCCACCCTGCCAAAAAGATTCAACACGTCAGTAAAACCCTCCACAAATAAAGTTGAAGATGCAAGGTAAGGTAGAAAATGGAATAAGGAAGAAAGAATATGGATCTATTACCAAATATATTTGGGAATTTATCATAAATTGTATCATCTATTTTTCGAAATATTTCTTTATTTTTTCATATAATTTTGTATTTTTATAAATATCACATGTGGTTATTTTATTTAAGAAGGTTCAGGCAGTTGCTTATATTTTGTCATTTTATTACCTTTGATTTTATAACTATTTTTAATTTTAATACTGTAATGGTTCCATTCTTTGATACCCCTGTTGTAAATGATTGGTTGGTATCAATAGGTCTGAACTGGACTTACTGGGTTTAATTGGGAGCGATATAAATTGGTTTTTACTGGTATTTTCCATGATGGAAAAATCCGATTAGGATTCTACTGTTTTTTAGTGGTTTCGATTGGTTAAAGCTAGCAATAGGTAATTTCCAATTGAATTCAATTGGGCATTCCCAGTGTAAGATTCTAGAAAGGAATCTGCTAATTGGTTATTCCCAATACTTTAAAATATGGAAAAGTCCAATTAGGATTCTAATGTTTTTTAGTGGTTTCGATTGGTTAAAGCTACCCATAGGTAATTTCCAATTGAATTCAATTGGGCATTCCCAGTGTGAGAATCTGCTAATTGATTATTCCCAATACTTTAAAATATCGCAAGAGGGCTCTCGTGTAGCTGCGCAAAACCAACGTACGCAGTCCTTGTTGGAATGATTCGCCATCAGAAAGAAACAAACAAGTCTTTGGACGCTTTTTAATGTCGTTTTTTATTAGTCGGTTTCTTTTATAATCTATGGGTTTCTGTGCTTAGTGGTAGTTGTGTACTTATAGAGGTGTGTACTTATACCTTAAAAAAATGTTTATATGGACGATGGCGTGAGAATGGTGCTTACAGCGGACAAAATAAAAAGTTTGACATACATAATACTGATTTCGACCATGCCTACAAACATCCTTTACAAGAAAGACAAAAAAATAATTATAACCAAGTAATTTTATTTATTTTTTATTACATTTTTTGTATTCGTAAGATATATGTATCAATATATATCTCACTAACACAAAAAAATAATAAAGAAATAAAGTTATTCAGTTATAATAATTTTGTTGGCTCTTCTGTGAAAAATGAATTCTAGTTTTTACCCGGTTATTCTTCAGGAATCTTAATTGTTTTTGAATGAAAAATCAACTGGTATTTTTAATCCAAATTTAAAAAAATAAATTGGTTCAAATTGGTTTGAATTGGTTTGGCGCTATGAATTACCAATTCATTCCAGGTGGATTTCTATTGGATTAAGCCAATAGAGATAAGTATAGGCATGGATTGGTATATTCCAATTTAAGCCGCTGACTTCATTGGAACTGGAATGAATTGGTGATTCATAGCGCCAAAACACATTTCTAACCAATTCAAACCAATTACTTATTTTTTATTGGATTCTATTGGTCATTTACAATAAGGACGATTTACAAATTTATTTTCAAGGAAAATAGCATAGTTTTATATATTTTACAAATTTCGAATTTCTAAATTATGCTTTGCAAAAGAGGTAAAAAGGGACACTTAGATAAAGAAATTACAAATTTTTGGAACTTTGTCTAAAGATGATACAAAAAACGAGGATCCAGGTAAACGAAGCGAGTAAAGGAAAGCAAGAAAAACAGGCCGAAAGTTTGTGAAAGTGGTCCCGAACGCATCGCTTCTTGTAAAATTTTGTTAATACAAAATTTATTGTAAAGTTCTGTTTTAATGTGTATTATCCAAGATTAGTTCTTAATTTTAATAGCCCATATTATGTAGTAAACCCTAGAACCAGTGGTGGAACCAATATCTCAGTTATTAGACTTGGGACCCACACCAAATTTATAGCAGTTTATAATGACATTAAATAGACAAGTTCGGCGCAAACAGAATTTAAATTAAAGTTTGCGAAAAAAAGTTAGTTTTTCGTGTCGCCTATTGACTCCCCTATTTAAGTTAATCCAAATTAAAGTGGTGCAATTTATAATCTACTATAATTTATCGACAAATTTAAAATTTAACATTTTCTCATAACGACTAATATCGTACCCGAACCTCCTTAAACAATGGATTTTCAGTTTACTTAACATATAAAAAATTAATACGTATAAAAAATTAACGATTTTAGTCAAGTTTAACTAAATATTTGCATTTTTAAAGACTATGTGGTAATATTTACCTAATCTTAAAACATTAAGTTTTTATGGATTTCCTATAAAAATTTTAAATATTTGAACATACAAATTTGTTCATATATATATTAATAAAAAAAATTGTTCATACATTTTAAATAAAAAAATACTCATTTTTGAAGAAGTACAAATATTTTATTTATAAATGTTGTTGGCAAAATATATAATTATTTAAGCCTCAAAATGTTTTACTTCAACTGATATGACCTTGTCAATAATAAGGTAGAAACCTAAAGTATTTGATTGGTCAATTGAAATTTAAATATTTGCATAAAGGATATAATACATCTTTTATAATATATGTTATTAATAACAATAAGTAACTAATAAAATATGATTTAATTTAATTTAAATATGGCAAATCCGTTAGACTTTTATACTATAAGGAAAGTTAGCCAATATGTTGTTGGACTTTATATTGGTTAAAACTAAATAGTTTTAGAAGTTTTTATTATAATAATTACAAAGTAGTAATATTTTACACGGTGGTCAAAACTTAAGCATAGGACGAACAAAAATGCCAACCAAAACTGATAGCATATTTTGATTATAGACCCCTTTTGGTAACACTAACATGTATTTATCAAAATCCCAGCTGATCCTATTTTAAAGTTTTGCAAACTTTTTTGTTTTTCTATTTTTATATATTATTTTGCAATTATTGTACTAAAACTACCTGTACAATTTTAATAAAATTAAGCAAAATAATAAACTTTGTATCATTTAAATTACTTTACTCCCCAGTATTAATTTATTGAGTCACCTATTATTTTTTAGCACTCAAAACAAAACATAACAAAAAAGTGTGTCTATGAAATAATTACAACTTGCAAATTTTGTAAAACAATAATTAAGGTGGTTATGAAAAAAATTGCTATACGTTATAACGAAAGTGACATTTTGCTTTAGTTGTTTATTTAATGTATACTTTATAAAGTTAAAAATAGTATTTTAAAATGAAAATTAAACCGAAATTCAAGTTAAGCCATGAAGAAAATCGAAAGAAGGTATGTACTGGCTGTGGAGACAAAATTGTTTTTTCAAACGAACACTTTATCTTAAGTGATTCAAAATTACAAAAACGGTATTTTTCCATAGCCACAATTGCCAAATTTTCAAAATTTAGAAATTGCTAGTGAGTTTCGCGGCAGCCAAGAATGTATGTGCTTTATCTGCAAAATGGCAAGATATAAAGGGCATACAAAATTATTAAGGGAAAAGGACGGAGGAACGAACTAAAGTTTTGATATGCTCTTCCTTTCTAGGGGATATCGCTAGATGTAAGAAGCATGTTTGTACAGAGACTGAAGAATTTAAAAATATTGTTTCCATGTTAAAAACAATTCCATGTAAAACCCAAGAAAAAGTTTTACTGAAAATTTAAGGCAAGCAGTAATCGATTTTGCTTCAAAGAATCTTTAGATATTTATTAGTTTTGTATTAGGTACCTTAAAACAATAAATAAGATGTTGCAAACTGTATTTTAGATTATTTTGTATTTATAATGTAATTTATCCATATTTCAGTCATGTATCTGCCAAATTTTTAAAAACATTTGATAATGGTACTAGAGTATTTTATCAAAATGGCATAAACAATTTTTCCTACTACCTCGACTCAAAATACGTTGTTTCGTCCCCGATTTCACGGCAGAAAGTTTACGTTTCTTGCATTGGTCAAGCTATACGCGCACACTCTAATAGCGGGAGTAAAAATTTTTTAGTCGTGTGCTTAACATTCAAATTTCGTACTGCCAACATGAGAAACACAAAAATATGACAGTTTTAAACCATAATTTTGCAATTATAACAACAAATAAACAATTTATCTTTTTACTTTTTTACTTTTTATGTTGTTTTAAGTGTTTAATGGTACTTTTATTTGTTATAAAGTAATAATTTGTTAATTAAAATACAACCTTTTATTTTTACTGTATTGGCACCGCTGAATTACCATGACAACGCTACAGTTTGATTGATTTTGAATGTAAACGTCAGAATTAAATTAAACGTCAGATTTTAATTTTGACACAAGTTTTTTTATATACATTTAATTTTTTCCCGTATTTTCTGCGGGGTAGCAAGAAAAATAGTACACTACACGGGCAGAAAGTGTGAGAGCCCTGAACTGCGCGCCATGATGCCCTCGGCTTCGCCTCGGGCATCATGGCGCGCAGTGCAGGAATCTCACACTTTCTGCCCTTGTAGTGTAATATACTATTAAAATACTAAGAAATATGCAAAACTTTAATAAAGGATCAGCTGGGATTTTGATAAATACATTTTTGTGTTACCAAAAGAGTCTATAATCAGATTATGCTATCAGATTTGGTTGGCATTTTTGTTCGTCCTATACTTTAGTTTTGACCACCGTGCGTACATTTTTAATATAATAGCTTGACCTGAGCAAAAAAACTAGTTCTGATTTTTTGTATTTTTTGAAAATGAATATGGCAGAAACTGTACCTTGGTGACGTTGGGTATCCCACATAGAAAACTGATGACGCAAATTATGAGCACCAAGACCTCGTGACACATCAGGTTCTTCCTTATCCAAGCAGGAAAGCCGTCTTGGATCGAGGTGACGACCACTTCGACGATCGCAAACTAGAAAAATCCTGAATGAGATATTATTATTACGATGACTTAAGTCTAGTGTGATTTGTTATTACTTGGCTGTTGAGCGCCAGACAGATCAGCATGAAGAAGAAGAAGACCGCCCACAGTTGGGCGGCCGGCATCTTGGCCATCGCTTGAGGGTACACCACAAATATCAAGCCTGGACCTAAAAAGAGTTACACATTTAGTATTGCAGTTTTTCATTTATATTTTAAATTCCTGCGAAATGGACACTAGACTGGGCCAAAAAAATTGACTATTTTTTTTTTTTTTGAAAATATATCGAGAATGTCATTCAGAATGACAAAAAAAATATTTCGTGAAAATTAAGTGAAAAGGAATTTTTTGACAGTTCTAACGTAAAACATCAAATTATGACTAAAAATCAAAAATAGCGATGATAGACCTCTTAAAATTAATATTAAGGGCTCAAATTTTCACGAAATATTTTTTTTGTCATTCTGAATGACATTCTCGATATATTTTTCAAAAAAAAAATAGTCAATTTTTTTGGCCCTGTCTAATGGACACCCTATAATATAATAATAATAAGTTTGGTGCAAACAATCAAAATTATTATAACTGTTATAAAGTTTACTTTTAGGTAGAGATACATTTATTTATTTGTTCGAATTCGGATCCAATTTGTGAAATAAACAAAATACCAAAATAAGTTAAAAATATATGTAAAATATTCAGAACACTATCCACTTTTTAATATTTATTACTAATAAATTATTAGTAATTAGCTAAAATTAAAAAAATGTTTATTTATTATCAACTCATTACCAAATATTTAAAATAGTTACTTTTGTTTTTGACATGTTATAATATAGTAAATAAGTTTTATTTACCTTGGCGGCATTTTGCGCTACTACAATTTACATAGGTGCGATTTGTAGATGATTAGATGCACTTTACAAGTACTTAAGAATTGCTCATATATTTTGACCTGAATACGTCACCGAAGTAATATTTTTAATACAAAATAGTATTTTTGCATTTTTACGGCAACTACAAAAAAGGTTATATGCATTAATGCAATAAAATGCATAGTTTAAAAGATATAGAGCGTTTAATAAGTTTTACTGTCAAATATTGTAAACAACATAAGTCTACGGAAAATTCGGATAAAAGTACAGGTAACAAGTAAAGTTTTATAGAAAATTTAATACCCTGCAAATAAGTTTGTATGCATTAATGCAATAAAATGCATAGTTTAATAGATATAGAGCATTACAAAAGTTTACTGTCAAATATTGTAAACAACATGACTATATAGTCTTCGGCAAAACTGTAAAAATTACAGGTAAACAATAAAAATGAGTTTTATTGTATAGTATATAAAAAATTAAATTTCCCACAAAAAACGTCCAATGCATTAATGCAATAAAATGCATAATTTAAAAGATATAGAGCATTTAATCAATTTTATAGTAAACAACATTAATGATTATACTATAGTCTACTGCAAAACAGTTACAATTACATGTAAACAGTAAAAAAGACTTTTATGGAAAACTCAATTTCCCAAAAAAAAAGTTGCAATAAAATGCATAGCTTTACTGTCAATTATTTTAAACAACATAAGACTTTGGTCTACAGCAAAACAGTTAAAATTATAGGTAAAAAGTAAAGAAGAGTTTTATAGAAAATTCAATTTCCTGCAAGTTTGTATGCATTAATGTAATAAAATGAATAGTTTAATAGATATACAGCATTCAATAAATTTTATTGTCAAATATTGTAAACAACATTAGACTCGATTTCCCAAAAAAAGGTCCCATGCATTAATGCAATAAAATGCATAGCTTTACTGTCAATTATTTTAAACAACATAAGACTTTGGTCTACAGCAAAACAGTTAAAATTACAGGTAAAAAGTAAAGAAGAGTTTTATAGAAAATTCAATTTCCTGCAAGTTTGTATGCATTAATGTAATAAAATGAATAGTTTAATAGATATACAGCATTTAATAAATTTTATTGTCAAATATTGTAAACAACATTAGACTCAATTTCCCAAAAAAAAGGTCCCATGCATTAATGCAATAAAATGCATAGCTTTACTGTCAATTATTTTAAACAACATAAGACTTTGGTATACAACAAATCAGTTAAAATTACAGGTAAAAAGTAAAGAAGAGTTTTATAGAACATTCAATTTCCTGCATGTTTGTATGCATTAATGTAATAAAATGAATAGTTTAATAGATCTATTAATATATCGATATACAGCATTTAATAAATTTTATTGTCAAATATTGTAAACATTAGACTCAATTTCACAAAAAAAGGTTCCATGCATTAATGCAATAATATGCATAGTTTTACTGTCAATCGTTTTAAACAACATAAGACTTTGGTCTACGGCAAAACGGTTAGAATTACAGGTAAACAGTAAAAAAGACTTTTATGAAAAATTAAATTTCCGACAAAAAAGGTCACATGCATTAATGCAATAAAATTCATAGTTTAAAATATATAGAGCGATTAGTAAGTTTTTCTGTCAAACATTGTAAATAATACGGTGTATGGCACAACGGTTAAAATTACAGGTAAAAAGTAAATAAGAGTTTTATAAAAAAATCAATTTTGTATGCATTAATGCAATAAAATGCATAGTTTAATAGATAATACAGCATTTAATAAATTGTCAAATTTTGTAAAGAACAATTTCTAACAAAAAAGGTTCTATGCATTACTTAATGCAGTAAAATGCATAATTTAAAAGATACAGAGAATTTAATTAATTTTACTGTCAAATATTTTAAACAACTTAAGACTATAGCAAAAGGGTTGAAATTACAGGAAAAAAGTAAAAAAGAGTTTTATAGAAAATTTAATTTCATGCAAGATTGTATGCATTAATGCAACGAAATGCATAGTTTAATAGATATACAGCATTTAATAAATTTTATTGTCAAATATTTTAAACAACATTAGGCTATGGCAAAACGGTTAAAATTACAGGTAATTTTATAAAAAATTCAATTTTCCATTAAAATGGTCCTATGCATTAATGTAATAAAATGCATAGTTTAAAAGATATAGAGCATTTAATAAATTTTACTTTCAATATTGTAAACAATATAAGACTATAATAGTCTTCGAAAAAACGGTTAAAATTACAGGTGAAAAGTAGAAAAGGGTTTTATAAAAAATTAAATTTTCTATCAGAACAATATTTAAAAGATATAATATATAGAATAAATTTTATTGTCAAATATTGTAAACAACATAAGACTATAGTTAATAGCAAAACAATTCATTTTTACTTTTAAAAAGGGGGGACAAATTATACTGACAGCGCCGATGGGGGGAATACGGAACTTTAATTTAAAAAAATTGTTTTGATATATTTCAACATAGTTTATGTATTTTGCACATAAATAGGATTTATCTATTATGTTTTATCTAACAATCACTGCTAGTTAGCCTGCTCTCATTTTTATTAATGAACAGGATATACCAATCATAGTGAAATAAATTTTGATTTATTGCAAAAAGTGTACATAATACAACAACGCCCCTAAATATCCTCTTACCGCATTATTCAAACAATATTTGCACATAAAAATTATCAGTTCAAATAAAATAAAAATTATTGATTTTTAGCAATATTTAATTTCCTAAAGCTATAAAAATCTTACTCACCATCGTCAATGACATTCTCAATGGTGGTTTTTTGTTCGTGCGCGATGTTGCCGATGGTGGCGAATGCAAAAATACCCACTAGCAAACTTGTGATGGCGTTCACAAACGATACTGCCAGCGTGTCCACAAGAATATTGTTATTATACTTGTTGTAGCTTGCGAAACATATCATCGAACCAAACGCGCAGCCCATGGAGTTGAAGGTTTGACAGGCTGCGTTTACCCAAACCTTAAAAGAAAAAAATGCAGGGTAAAGTTTGTTGGACCCTCTATCGTCTCCACTCTATTAGGTATAGTAATTTACTATAGGTACTATTAGTAAATTTAAAAGTAAACTACGTACACGTCATCAATAAAACAAAAATTGTACGCATTGGTACCAACACTAAATGACTAAATCGAAGTCTGTAATTGAATATTTGAATGCATTTTAACCAAATTAAGTTGGCAACAATTGTGATGTTGTCATGTTTACATTCAAATTTTTCATATTTAAATGACACATAATAGTATATTAAAGAACTAATGTCATAAGACGTCATTTTGTCGCACGCGGACAATTTATAAAACCATTTCTTCCACTTTTTCCATGTTTTTATCGGTTGTTAATGTGCTTGTGCGTTCGGGGCGTTCGTCATCTTCAACGTCTTCACGGCCATCTTGGAAACTCTTATACCACTTTAACGAACGGAAAATCGCCGAGCTCATAAAACACGTCTAACCTTAGCGGCTGCCACAGACAAAGTAAACAATGAAAACAGCTAAAGTTTTTATCATACTTCGGGGGCATGTATACCAACATAATAAAGAAAATTTTATGACAACCGGACCCTCCGAACCCGCGAAATTTAACAATTCCCGTTATTTTCTGAACACACCTCGTATATACCAGAGACTAACTTTAGATGGCAAAATTTTTGGGTTTTATATCAGAAAATGTCTTTAAAAATGGCTAAAAACATACTTTTGGCGGTGCATCATATAGGTTATAAAAACTCAGACTTTTGACATTTTGGTATTATTCATGTAAACGCCATCTATCGCCCTGTAGTTGCACTACCACTTTCCCTTGATGCAAGGATTTTAGCATCACATTGACAACCGTGCCCGATCAGCTGATTGATGACGTGTACGTAGTTTACTTTTAAATTTACTATACCATCTTAACTTTACTTTAATTATAGCATTTGATTAAACAGTTAGGTCCATAAAAAAGAAACAACATACATATGTTTACCAGCGCGTGAGAAACCAAAACCTATAATTACCACTACATCTTGAATCTTGTTAAGTTAATCGTCAACATTTTTATTTTTTCTTACCTTCGCTTCAAGAAGCAGTTCGAACTTTGGTTTCCAAAAGAATTTCATTCCTTTGTCGGCCCCTTCGAGAGTCAGCGATTTGATGAGAAGAACTATGATGATGAAAAATGGGAATGTTGCTGTAAAATACCGGACTTTTGCAGATGACTTTATGCTTTTCCATATCGCGAAGTAGATTAGTATCCAGGCACAAATAAGGCATGCCACTAGTTCCCATCTAAGTTCGTTGAAATCTTCAATACCGTTTCCTATCTGTAGCACTTTACGACTAAAAAAAAAAATAGTTATCATACATTATATAATAAAAATATTTTTTTTCCTTAGGCTGGGGGTGGAATTTGTAGCCTATATAAAAAAAAATTTTGAAAAAAAAAATTTTACTCAACGTCTTGAGGTGGCCCACCGATTTTTTAAATTAAAGTTAAAATTCTTTTGAATAAAAAAAAAAATTTTTTGGCTTGTAATCTTCAAATTTATCTAAAAATAAACAAATTTGATCGAGTTCAACTCGAAATTCGCTCTATTGCCTCAGAAAAGCATGTTACTATTTTGGAATTTTTTTAAAAACAACAATAATGACCACAATTTTTTTTTTTAAGTTCATAACTGTTAATTAGCGACCACTCGTTTTTAACTTAAATTTAATTTAAAAAATCAGTGGGCCACCTCAAGACGTTGAGTAAAAAATTTTTTTTTTTTTCAAAAATTTTCTTTTTTTATAGGCTACAAATTCCACCTCCAGCCTAAGGAAAAAAAAATATTTTTTTTCGCTCCACCCTATTATACAATAGGGCCAATTGAAAACATGATGGTAATCATTTAATATGCCTATATTAGCTAAGAAATACATGATGGTAAAAATTTAATACGCCTATATTGGGAAAAGTGGTAAACTATTATCACAATTAACGATTTCATCTTCTGAAGTTCAAAAAGGTGGCGGAACCTCCAAACATTGCCTGATCAATATTTTTTTTTTCGTTAGTTATGATAATAGGACACCACTTTCTCCAATATACCTAGGCATACTATATTTTTACCATGAAGTGTTTTGCTCAGCCAATATAGGCATATTAAATGGTTACCATCAAGTATTTCACTCCACTCTATTATACAACACTTTTTTGCAGGTACTTATACAACTAAAGATTGCTTTTTGTAGAAGCACCCATATTGATAAGTCCTTTTATACTCATTTTAAGGACTCCTTAAAATGAATATATAGTAATAAATAGCAGTTCTTACTCGTAAAACTCTTCAGCAGGCGATTGACTGAACTGAGGTTTGGTGAAGTTCGATCTGGCGTACCAGCAACTTCGAGTATTCCATCTGTGCGAACAGTCTTCCCATGGTTGTTTTGCTCGAAAAGAGGTGAAAAAATAGTAAACCCCATAGGCTATTATCACACTGTAGTAGGTTGACATTAAAAACGATATAACTACGCTACCTAAACCTGTCCCTAAAATGGTTCAAAGAAGAATTTTTGTTAATAAACTGTTTTGAATGGTTTTTGAGAGGTGTTACCTTTAAATAATGGACAAAGGTGTCCCAGTGCTCCAATGGGACCCCTTCCCGTAAATTGCCCTACTGATAGTTCCATGTATAACATGGGTACTCCACATACCAACATTGTTATGGCATATGGTATGAGAAACACAGCTGTAAAAAAAAAGAATTTGTTGTAGCTTGGCTAACAGTCATCTGAGTAATTCCCTAATTGGAAAACTGCATTTTCAGCTATGACAACAAACTGTTTCAGTTTTAAGAGATAAATCATCGGATACCAGAGTTCAACGTTGTAAGTTTGATAACAAAACGTCATTGCTCGCCAACGGTGGGCAATTCATGGCTGATAACGTTGAAGTATTAACTTGCAATCATCTAGATTTGTCTAATTTTGAAATCTTATTAAAACAGCTTACAAAATTACATTTACGTATTTTAGAGTAAATTCTATATTTCCACAAATATTAGGTACCTGCGTACTAAATACAATGGGATCAGTGGCGGCCCGTGATATTTCATTTTGGTGAGGCAGAGGCAGGGTTTCGCCCTCATTTAAAGGCGAAGAAATTTTTTTAAACCCAACTTAAAAAAACTAACGTCGCAGTTCACAACCTATACTTAAAACTAAGTAAAAAAAGTCAACAATATCGGTACAATTTGTCACCGTAATATCAATATTAACTAAATTCACATAAATCACCAAGTTCAATTAACTAAACCCACAAAATAAACCACTTACAAAAGAATCATAAAATAGACAAATTCATAGAAAAAGAATAAACAAAATATTGCGTAAATAACCACAGATTTGTTATTTAAACAGTTCAGAATTTTATAACCAAAACAAACCTAAAGAAGGAATCTGTATTTATTTTATTGGTTACTGTGAAGGCTACAAGATGGTGATAATGTTAAAATATGTTTATTTTAGAATAGAAATATAATTTCGATTTAATCAATTTATTATAAGAAAAATAATACCATTTGAATTTTGAAAAACGTGTGAAGTATAATTTATTTAAAATTCCGCAACAGTGTTTCCACAACACCTGCTTATTTCCTTGGATGTGGGCGTGCCTGCCTCGCGTATGTTAATACGAGAGAAGGAGACAACTATGATATCGCATTGTAATAGAACGAGACAACAAGGCTAACGCCAATCGTGAGTCTAAATTAGTTCAGGCATGCTTCTGAGCCAATCGTCTAGCTATAAATATTAGTTTAAATTGCGGTCGTTTCAAATTCAAATAATTTAAATGTTGCTGGGTATTCCACGTATAAAATCAGTCAATGTTATTGACTATTCATGTAATCCAAATATTAAAAATTTATAGTATATTATAGAAAGTAAAATATTTTTTAATTCTCTATGATGAGGCATTGTCTCACCTGCCTCCCCTGACGGGCCGCCACTGACTGGGATATACATCTGGTCATCTAGTTTTAAGAATTGATAAATTAATTTGTAAGACGCAAGTCATTCATCTTTTTGAAATAATTTACTTATGAATGTTGAATGTGACTCAGCATGTTTGCATAAGTAACGTACTACAGGTTCGACCTCCTTTTTTAACCAATCCAAAAAAACATACAGGCTAATACCAAGAAGTACCTAGTGGTTTGGTTTATGCTTAAGGCTTTCATTCATTATTTTGCGAATTTCTATGAATTTTGATCATCAAGGAAAACGTTATTTTTTATTTTAATTGTTTGCATATATTTGCATTATAAGGTGGGATAGTGATTCATTAATGTTTTTGAATAATGTAGGAAACAGTCTAATAGTAGATAGGTATACAAAATTTTCATTATATTTTAACTTTCTTCCTCAAATCACTTATACTAAAATATAAAAATATATATATTTTTAAAAACATTTTCTTATAATACTTTTGTCGCAACACTATTATTACATTCAAACGATTTTTTTGGCAATTCCAATTCGTTAAATTTTAGATTTTGGAACATATCCAAAAAGTCTAGTGTCACGTTGGAATTTCTATTTATTTATAAGTAAAATTATTATTTTAATTTAATGGTGCCATTCATTTCACATACATAAATTATGTTAAGGCAATTTATATACCATTTGTATCTTAAAACTACTGATGTAATTTTAATTATCAAATATACAGAGTGGTCCAAAAACTTATATCGAAAACTCAACAGTTTGATTGGTAAGATTGAATGCACCGTATGTTCCGGACCTTAAACCACCAGACTACTATTTGTTTTAGTATCTATAAAACTATTAATGGTGTAAAGTTTATAACAAATTTATCTCACGTATTAAAAACATGTTACAAACACCGTGTTAACATTCATATTGCCATGCTGATTACCAAAGTGATTCCACAGAAAAAGTATTAAGAAAATTTGTTTTGGTAATAACAAGAATAATTATTATGATCAATATTTTAAAATAAATAAAGTATATACAAAATAAATTTGTTTACCTCCTCCACTTTTATAACAAAGATAAGGAAATCTCCATATCGAACCAAGTCCAACACTATAACCCACACAAGCTAACACAAATTGTAGTTTATTCGACCAATGCTGTCTTCTTGGTTTTATGTATACACTGTCTTCTTCGTCTCCACTACCATCGTCTGATTCTTGGTCGTACAGGTATTCTTCAGGGGGCCTGTAACAAAAAAAGTGTAAAATATAATCAATTTATTTTAAGAATATGGTAGGACAAATTCACACAGTTTAAAATTTTTAAAAAGAAATTAATGTGCAATTTTTGGGAGGGTAAGTCTTTTAGATGGGGTAACGATATAATTAAAATGTTAACATCATAATTTACAAAATACTATTTTGGTAACGTCTTATTTAAACAATAAAGAAAATTGTCCTTCTGTATAAATTTCGCATGATAGGTGCACATAGCAATTACAATTCAATGCTTAACCTTGCCATACTTTTTGACGAATGTAGTTAACAAAATTCTTATATCTCTTTAACCGACTGCATGTTTTTTATAATGCATATGCAATATATATTATGTATACAAAAACAAAAGAATTTAGAGCAGAAAAAAGTATTTAGGGAAAATTTACTAGGACTTAATACTACTATCCAGATCTAAATGAATTACCTATACATACAGGTAAAATACCTCTGAAATATTTGTTTTAAATTTGATTTGGTTTATTGATATGTAAATGAATAAGTATGTACGAGAGAATGTGCTAATAAATTATTTATTACAGGGCGTTACCATCGTGACATTGTGCCGTATTAATCTTATTTTTAAACATACACGCCCAAGTGTCATGATTGTCAATTTCAGGCACTGTGGTGTTAAAGAAAGTAGAGCAAAGTATTACTAACTAACTAACACTTGAATACATTGTAAAGAGATCAGATAAAATACGTTTTTAAGAATTTGGGTATTAATTTTAGTATTTAGGATTATTTGTATAATATAAATAAAAAATGAGTATGAGTATGAGTGCTGACAGTGTCGATGGTTAAGGCCACTCCCGGATTTTTGTCGCCGGGTCGGGCTATACGCCCAGTATAAATAAAAAAATAACATTTTTATCGAATGAAAACTAAAACAATATTGTTTTAAGTGCTAAAAATGTGGTGTAAGTAAGAGGCTATAAGCCTTGTAAAGTTTGGACATATGGACATTTAGGACTAACTTTTTTAATACTGAAGTTTTTCAAAAAAAGTTGAGGCAAAAAAAGTACAAAAATAATATCATACATATAGTAATAATATTTAATTCGGAATCTCGTAAAATCATGGAAACAATAAAGGAAGTTAATTACCACGTGTGGCATAATTGCAATTATACGGACGACATAATTTAATAAACGAAATAAGCACAATTTGTATTGTTAATTGTATGTTTAATATTCGTTGGTTCGATGGTACGCACTGAGGTACCTCAGTGCGTACCTCTGCGAACGGAAGTTCCTTTAGAAGGTCATAAAAATAGTGAAAATTTCAAGTATCTACCACAATTTATTATCGAAATACAAGTATTTTATCTACATAAAGAGCGTTTTGTACAGAAATAATATTTTCCAGTTATATAAGGCAAAATTGCCAATCCACAAGCAATACAGAGTGTTCACAAAGTAAGGTCAAAAATTATTAAAAAAAAAAGAAATAACAATGTTTATGCAAAATATTTGCTAGAATTTACAGAGTGCTTGATAAAATGATTTTTGTTTAAAATGTTATCTAACTTTTGACGTTTTTGGGGACCTTCGAAAATATTTTAATCATAGAAGGCCATGGAAATGCCATATGACAATGTTTTTTTATTTAAAAGATAGAGCTTTTTGAATACTACAAAGTATTTTTAAAAATAAATACCGAATTCTCGCCAATCAAAATCAAACACACTGTAGAATAATGTTCATACACGAGCGACCTTTAATACAACAAAATATTATATTATAGTAGATTTTGCGATAAAACAACATTTGTAATGTTTAGTTTATTGTCTGTCATTCCAGCAAGAGATTAATGTTATATGGAAGTTATTCTCATATACAGGGTGTCATTTAACTTGAAACTTTGAAATATTTCCGTTAGTATGCATTTTACGAAAAAATGTTTAAAATAAAAATTAAATGATTCGAGGGAAAAATCAATCAGTACTAAAATTGGTCCTCATACTCTTCTTATAGGGGGAAAATTTCCAATGGAACACCCTATTTTTTTATTGCAGATATGGATCATTCGACTAAAAATAGGGAGATTTTGTCTAAAACATTTTTCATATTTGTAATAGATGGCGCTGTAATGAAAAAAAAATCAATTTTGTTCGAATTTTCTTCTTATACGATTCTGCAATAATTTTTCTATAAAAATATCACTTTTTTTGGTAATAATTATCTTATTAAATTAAATATGATTTTTTAAAGTATCCACGATTTTTTAACTAGTACCTATTTAAGTTTTCTTTGGTTTAAGTTTTATACATTATTTCATTCGGTGATAATTATCAATTGCGCACCATGGTCACTTTTTACCTGCCAGCATTAAATCCTTTAATTTAAAGGATTATTGTACTATTTTTAATAAAAATGGTAAAAAAACATTATTTTGTCAATTAATTAATTTAATCCTAATTGAGGTATAAAAAATGATATTTAGTTAGAAATAATAATTATTATTGAGGTATAAAAAACTATTTTTACATAGTTTAGCATTATTTAATCAATTTAGTTCAAAGATTAATTTGCAAACAAAGACCTCCTTTCGTTAAGCAGTTATTCCTAAAGGATTTTTTAACAGTGGAAGAAAAAATAGAAATGATTTTGATTTATGGAGAAGCAGGCATGAATCTTAATGATGCTGTTAATATCTACGCTCAGCGTTTTCCGAAAAAAAATCGATCATGTACTTCATTTCACCGTACAGTCAAGCAGTTTACTACAAACGGGAGTGTTCAACCGAAAAAAAGGAGTTCGTCGAGCAACAGTAACAGGTGGAAATAATGAAATTAATGTATTAGCAGCAACGGCCGCTAATCCTCATGCAAGCACACGACAATTATCTAGATATTTGGGAATATACCAGAGCAGTGTTAGCAGAATATTTCGTTAAGCAGTTATTCATAAAGGATTTTTTAACAGTGGAAGAAAAAATAGTAATGATTTTGATTTATGGAGAAGCAGGCAGGAATCTTGATGATGCTGTTAATATCTACGCTCAGCGTTTTCCGGAAAAAATTCGATCAAGTACTTCATTTCATCGTACAGTCAAGCAGTTTACTACAAACGTGAGTGTTCAACCGAAAAAAAGAATTCGTTGAGAAACAGTCACAGGTGGAAATAATAAAATTATTGTATTAATACTCATGCAAGCACACGAGAATTATCTAGAGATTTGGGAATATCCCAGAGCAGTGTTAGCAGAATATTAAAACGAAATAAATAAATAAATTAAAAAAATAAAACCAAGTATTTTATTCAAAAATCATTTAATTTTTATTTTAAATATTTTTTCGTAAAATGCACACTAACAGATATTTCAAAGTTTCAAGTTAAATGACTCACCCTGTATATGAGAATTACCGATAGGTACTTGTTACAAACGAATGTAACGGTAGAAAAATCAAATTAAATTTGGTCATTCACACCGATGATCACAGAGGGTAACGAATTTTTAATGGATTTTTTCTATTTTCGTAATTAATAATTTTTTATCATGTTTTTTTTACCTTAATCTAAGAGGAACAACGTAGTCAATGTTTTGTTTTAACATTCTGTTGTCACTTTTAATGCTAAACTAGCTTTATAGCTATGGGTAATATATTTATGTAAATGTACAATGATTTATTTCAAATTAATTAGCAGTACATGTGTTAATATAGAAAATACATAAAAACTGGTAGCTAAACATGGAATTGAAGATTTGAATTTTGCTATTAATATTTTTAAGATCTTGGTGTTAAAATATTTCAAACACAATATATTTTATTAAAGTCTATATATGTATGGTAAAGCTGGATTTATAAACTTTACGTAACTTGATTCAATTTACTCATAAACGCTTCATGTGCAAATCATTATTTAATAAACAGCGTTTAAAACAAATTAATGTTCCCATGCAATTTTCCAATTGCCATTGAAATATGCATAATACATCTTAATTCTGTTTCATTTAATAAAACAGGTCTACAAAGTTTTCTATTTAAAGGTTTTAAAAAAATTCTAACACAAAAGTGGTGATCAAACTGCTACTTACATAATTTGATCATCAAAAGTCAAATTCAACATTCGGTACGATTTTGGTATTATGTAGTACACTCCTTTTTTTAGTTTTATTCTGGTCATTTTACAAGGAACACACTTTAGTTCACTAGTGTAGTCCACTAAGGTAAACTTTGCACTGGATATATAATAAAATAATGTTTGATTTGTTTTATAGGTTGTATTAATAGTGTTGCAAAAATCAGCATTGTTTTTTGTTAATATTAGTAAATATTTAATTTTAAACTAATATACCTACCACAAGTTTTAACTCTCCTGGTTAGGTAGAAAAAAATTAAAGATGTATCAAACTTACTTAAGTAGTATTATGTTTGCAGGGGCGTAGATAAGTGTTAAAATAATTATACAGAAGTCGGAAAAGCATAACCACCATTTTAATTAAATAATCATTTAATTTTCACATGAAAATAGTGTTTTCTTAACTGGCAAGGTTTTTTAAATTATCTTTGTTTATTTAATTTTTCACAGTTCAGCCAAGGTTCATAATTTGTCTTAACACATTTTAAAATAATGTATTTCATTTTTTAATCCATTTTGCACACTGAAAAATGTTAAATAATAAAAATGTTGTTTTAAAAATTATCAAGAAGTCAAATTAAATAGTGTAACAGGTGTGATTTATATACTTTGTAAATTATTACCAAGTTGTGAAGTAATTTATTTTTAACAATATGTAAATATTTGGTGAAGTATTTCGTTTAACATCGTCACCACATGTGACAAATTAAGCGCTAATTATTTATTACAGTAAGAAGAAACTGCACGAAAAGTAATTTTGTATGTTTTAAGTCGTATTGCTGTAACTTTGCGAGAAGTTACTTAAATCTTAAACACTGATTATAATCAGTAATAAAGTATACTTTATTAGTAAAACCATGACATATTTTGTTATATTATACGT